CAGACCATGTTTTCTCAGCCTTCTGGAGGCTCTCCACATCATCTCCCAACAAAACACTCACTCAGATTTCATTACAGAGACTATGATCTGTTCTTCACAGAACCACAGAATAGTCTGAAATGGAAGGGACCCACAAGGATTATCAAGTCCAAGTCTTGAGTGAACGGCCAATACGTAGATTGAACCCACAACACTGTCATTATCAGTACCCTGCTCTAACTGGCTGAGCTACTCTGACAAATAGGTTGTCTTCAGCTGGCAAGAAATCAGCATTAGGAAAACAAAACCCCAAGCCAAACTCTAGCCGACAAACTTAAGAGAAAACAACAAAAATCCCTCAAACTTTGAAGCTATTTACTTGACAAATCAACAACAGCTCTTCCCAAACAGCAAAAGGCAGTTCTAGGGAATGCTGTGGGTCCCCTTCTTCCCCAGGCAACCGGTAAGTAAAGCTAGAATTGTTTTAACAGTATGTTCCAGTGCAGTGCTCCCAGCTAGGCACACCAGCTCTGAGGAAAAATCTTCACTGTTGGCTCCAAACTTCATCCTGCACAAATCTCATCTCCCCTGGGAGCTGCAGGTGAAGCAGTCCATCACAGAAAGTATGTGCACTGACAGGCTTAAACTGCATCAGTTTTTGGGATTTGGAATCTTCCCACACAGTTGCTCACTTGCATTACCAGCACTCTGTAACTGTTTATTGCACCATTCCCAAAAGCCGAGGCACAGAGAAGGTTCTCCCACTAAGACAACATACAAACAGATTAGGATGGACCACACAAACTGCATATGAAGAAGACATTCTCAATTTCAACATATTGCTCAAACTTTGGAATTTGAAACTATTTTAAATCTGTGTTTAATTTTGATGTTTTCAGACCACAAGTTTAGTACTTGACCTAGGAGGGAAAAAAAAAAGTAAACAGGTATCTGTATTTAAAGATATTGATTTTGCTCTGTAGAGATGACACAAAGTATTCCCCCACAAGGCTGCAGGACGGAACATTATTAAAAGTCCATCTATGTGCCATCAATGCTCACAAGCTCCTCTGTCACTACACAGTTTGCAGAAGTCGGTCGTTAAGCAACTGCTTCGGTCCTTCCGTCCAGTTAAAAACAATCACATCATCAATGTGTCAGTGGAACGTGGGTGACGTTTCTACAGATCTCCACAACCTGGGTATGGATAGTACGGCTAAATGAAAGGATACTCCGTCCATTCTCCACGTCTCTTTCTCCCAGAAAAACTAAGCGTTCAGGGGACTGTACAGGCTGCTTTGTGCTCAGAGAGAAACTCTTTCCTCGCTTAAATAACACAGCATCACAAACTTAACGAGTCCTGGGGGCGGGACATCAAGAACTACTTGCAAAACACACATAAACTTTTCCAGTAGCTTGCTCTCCTCCACATACAAACGCCGGCATATTCGAGCAAAAACTGGCCAGGAACAGAAGTTCTCTTGCATCAGCCCCTTTCATCCCACCTCTTCTGCGGCCACTTTCTAAAACGCATCTGGGGCCGAGATTTGGCCACGACGCGCCCCTTCTCCCCTCGGGGGCTCCTGTCCCGGCTTCACTTTTCTACCCCGATTCCTGCCCGCAGCATGGGTCGTCCGACTGAGCCCCCCGACCCTCGCCGTCCTGCGGGCGCCGGGCCCGGAGAGCCGAGAGACCGCCCGCCGCCCGGTGTGTCCCCCGGGCCTCACCTGCAGCCCATGAAGACGTGGTTGGTCCAGAGCACGGAGAGCGCCAGCAGCTGGTCGATGGCGGAGCCGGGATACGCGGAGAGGTGGCGGACGATGAAGCGGCGGCGCAGAGCCCATTGCCGGTCGGTCTCGTTGTACTGCCGCCACTGCTCCAGCACCGGCTCGGGCACCCCCTCCGGCTGAGGCTCCGCCGGCGGCGGCATGGTGGACAAAGGCCGCAGGGCCGAACCCCGCCGGGGGCGCGGACCCACCGGGCCCGGGCGCGTACGGCGGGACCAGGCCCCACGTGTGGACCAGGCCGCGGCTCGCTACGCACCACCGGGAAGCGCCGGCGTTGCCCGGCCTCAGCTCCCCCGCCACCTGCCCCCCCCCCCCCCCCCCCCCCCCCCCCCGCCCCGTTCCCTGGCGGTCCCGTCCCGCAGGTGCCGTCGCGGTGCCGGTTCCGCTCCCCCCACTCGCGCGGGGCCGAACGGCGCGGCCCGGCCGGCGCCGCGTCACGTGGCCGCGCGTCAAGATCGCGCGAGATCCCGCGAGAAAACAGCCGCCATGGCGGGGCCGGCGCCGCGGGCCTCAGCGCCCCCTGGCGGCGGCTGCCCCGTGAGGGAGCGGGGCCTGAGGGGGCAGGGGGCGTGACCGGAGCGGTCCCCGAGGCACCCACGGTCCCCACGGCCCCGCTCCGCTCCGTGCCCGCCCTCCTCGCGGCTCGGGGATCTGCCCCAGGCCTTACCGAACAGCCACAGTTGCCCCAAGGGCGGCCCTGCCCGCGAGGATGCGCTGGCCGGGGCCGGGATCGGGATCCGCCATCCTCGCCGGGCTTCGGCTTCCCCGTGCCCGTGCGGAGCGCCGGGCCCAGCGCCGCCGGCCCCGCGAGCAGCACATACACACAACACAGCAGCCGCGCTGGCTTTCATATTTTTTATTTAAAATTTACATGAAAGTTAGAAAGGTAATAGGCGGAACAGTGCTGGTTCCTCAATTTTGCCGTGTAAACACAGAACGCGGTGCCGTTTTCACGCACTTGCATTTGTAAAAAGGAAACGAAGCCGGCACGGGACGGTGGCTCGGGGAGCATGCGGGGCACGGGAAGGGCAGCACAGCGGGGCGAGCAGTGCCCGGGCGGCTCCAGCACCGCCGGGACACGGAATTCATCCTTACACCCGCCCCGGTACCGCCTCTCCCTGGCACTGCCAGATTCTCCTAACTTAAAAGAACAAGAGGAAGTGGAGTTAGGAAAGACAAAGTAACACTTGACTCACGTCCACCAGCCAATGGGGCTTTTTAACAGGATGGTGAGACACAGGAGGACACCAGTGAGAACACAGAGTTCTTACTTTATTTCTTTGATAAAATTAAATATTTCGTGGCTGCCAACAGAGCAAGTTGCACCATGTTTATATTTCCTTTGACTCTGAATGCATGGTTTCCAAAACCAATCAAACAACAGCATATTGAAAATATTCCTTAGGCTTCACACCTCAGGGAAGCCCATGACATTTATATTATTAAAGACAACATTAGAAAAAACATATGCCCATAACAACGTTTGAAAATGTATTCGCTACATCATTAGTCCCAACATCACATTTCTGCGGCTCTTCAAAATTCCAGGTCATCAGTTCCCCCCTCATCACCCTGTCTTGTCACACAAATTACAAGACACTTCAATTTTAAGTATCATGCAAGTCAGTAAAAGAGCTTCTTTCCAAGACACTAACACTGAAGATTTGTTCCCCCCTCCCCAGACACAAGACCCTTAAACTCTTCTAGAAGTGGCAGTCTTCTCCCTCAGACACAGTGCAGCTGCCGAAGACAGATTAAAAAAAGCTACAGAGAGAAAAGGGGGAAAAAAGAGAAAAAACAGAAGATTAGCAAAAAAGAGAAAGACATTAAAAAAGCAAGAAAAGAACATGCAACATGGAAACAGCTGACAGAGGAGAGATGAAACCTCCTTGTGGTACCTCAAGTACTTCAGGGAAATCACACAAGTAAAAACCTTTTTTTCTTTAAAGTATTTAAAAAGATTTCACATAACTTTAAATAATTCTAATAAGGCAAATGGTCAGGAAGAACAGTGACCTGCAGTAATGTAAAATAAGTCATATTCAATTGTCCTTTTAGCACATGACCTAGAAATCACTGACAGGTTAATATTGACTAGTTTTGGGAGCAGGGAAACATTCAAAAGCAGAGGAAGAAGAAAATATTCAAATTATTTTAACTTGCTAAAAAAATCCCAAGCAAACCACAAAGCAATCAAAGAACTCCATGGGAAATGAAACTGTATTTATGGTGAAACAGAATACCTGAGAAAATACATTGCAATCAAGAGTTTGGACTGCCTTGACTGCTGGGAAAGGAGGCCAGGCCATGGTTTGACCTGGGGCTGCTGCTGTGAGCAGGAGCCAGGCTGACCGTGTGCTGAAACTGCTCCTGAGCCTGTGGCATCGCCCACTCAGGTAAAACCTCAGCAGCAGCTAGCACTAAACAGCATCACCTATCAGGGCTAGACCTCATGTCTGCTTATCTTTAACAGCCCAGGATCTGGAGGGGGTGAGTGGAGGCTGTCTGGCAGCACTCATCTGATCTTTCAGCAGGGGCAGGACGTGTGGATTCACCACATACAGAGCACTGAGCCCGCCCACAGCGCAACTGAAGGACTGGGGCCACAACAAGCAAGTCTGAAACGGAAACAAGGATTTACATGCTAGTCTTCAGATAGCATGAATTAGCAAAAGAAAAATATAAAAGCAAATGAAAGAAGACAGATGATGTCATGAAAATGACACAATATAATGAGAAAAGAGTGTTTTATCTCTGAACTATGTGATAATTAAACTAAGATGCTGTTGTCATTTTAATGTAATCAATAAATATATTTAAACTGCACTGTTATTTTGCCAGCAAAAATAACTCACAGAACTTATTTCCATATACCTTATTTAGCTGTGTGGAATGAGACCAGGAAAAAGGGGAATCCATAATTGTAGGGAAAAAAATAAGGCAGGATTTAAAATTGTAGCATCCAGAACCTTGTTATGACTAATTTTACATTGTTTAATAAAAGCAATAACCACCAGTACATAGTAAAGACAGAATCACAATGAGGACATAGGACAGAGCAAGGATAACACCCTGGAAAGGTCACAGCTGAAATGCTGTCATGTTTTATTAGACCCTCCGATTTAACAAGTAAATGAAGGTCCATTCCAGGCCATTGTATTCAGGGGTAATTACTCAGTACAGAGCCATGGGTTACTGTAAAAAAAGGGCAAAGAAAACAAAAAACAAAAGAAGTAAATGTTAACCAGAATTCACTGTCTGATGAACTCTTTATTTAAAAACAAAAGTCAAGACAGAAATACAGAGAGAAGACACTTGCATGCAAACCACAGTTACACTTGGCCAGAGTGAACTCCTGGCCCAGTGAGCAAAACACCCTCCTTTTTAGTGCAAATCTTGCAATAAAAACAAGGCTTTTGCTGAATAGAAAATATGAGAAAAAAACTGTCAACATCTGTACAGTTCTAAAGAAATGCCAGATTAAAAACAAATAAAGGTAGTATTTTTTTTTTTGCATTAAAACCAGAAATTGTTGGAATCACTGAGAAGAAAGTCAATGAAACAGCATCGTCTTTCTTCAGAAACACTGATTTGTACAGCAAGGTGACCAGCTTTCCCTGAGATTGGATCCAGGATGTGCATCCAGGTCAGCACACTGAGAGGGAGACCAGGCAAGAGATCCTTCATGACCCCTGCAGCATTCAGAGAACACTTAGTTGCAAACCATGGATCCAAATTTGAGATTTCCTCAAGCCTGGGAATTAGAGGTTTGGACTCAGGCCCATGCCTGTGAGGATGTCAAGTTTTGCAAAAAGTCCTTGAAAGTTATTTGAGTCACACATGGCAGCACAGGGGATAATGAGGGCTTAGGAACAGCAAATTACCATGGGAAGAGGGCAGCCAGTCTCTGGAGACAGCACATCCCACCCCACAGCAGTACTGGGAGCTAAATGCACCCCCCAAGCAGCTCTGACAGCACGGAGCGAGGGAAAAGCTGAGCAGGGGAGAGGGGACACTCGCCCAGGAGCAGTGGGTGTCCTGCTGCTGCCCAAGGGGCAGGAGGAACCTGGCACAAGCCCCTCTGGCCAGCAGGGTCCCTCACAAGAACAACCCCAGCGGCCAAGAACTCTGGTTTAACCCCGAGTGATGAGCACAGGAGGGGAGCAATGGGAAAGGTGAGTAAACAGGCACAATGGCACAGCCGAGGGTGGGGCATTCGCCTCTGGGGCCAAGGGAAAGGTTCTACAGGAAACCCGAACTGAAAATGAAAGAAAAAGGCAGGTTAATGGTTTTATGGATTAATGACAAAAACCAAAATAAAAATACAAATTTTCCTAATGAGCACGCACACACACAAAAAAAATGTTGCTAAGTGTTAATAAGGTTTAATCTGACTACAAAACATGCTTTATGCAGACACACACACACTCAGCAGTGGGATGAACCAAATTTATTTTCTAAAACAATCCTTTCACAGTTTTGCAAGCTACAGGACTCATCAACTGTGACTTGTTTGTATCCTTGCAAAACAGTGAAGCCCTGGAACACTTTATGGATCAATATGGAGAGTGTTTTTCTAAATCCTGGAAAAGTACCACATATACATATTTAATTTAGCAATGACAAATGCCCATTGAAAAAGGCACTGTCTGCATTTGTGTAGTGGGAACAAAGAACTTCATTTGATTCAAAGCCCAGCACACAACAGTGTACAGTTATGTGAGGATTGCCAAAAGCAATCCAAAACCAACAAAAATCAGTAATGTTCACTCTAACTGCACTTTAGCTGTGCCTTCGTACTCAGCACCAGAATGAACACATTTATTCTTTGAGCTTATTTTTCTACATTCAGAGCCTGATAAGCAGAGAATTGTTCTTTTCATTGTTCTACAGTTACTGTTGGCAGCAGAGACATTCATTCAACTGGACAGCTCAAGACAACTGCAAGCACCAGTTCGAGTCAGTGCAAGACCCTTCTGAAGCTCTTCTGTTAAGTGGAAGGTCCCATTTAACTTAGATTCAAATGCCTCTCACTGACAGCATGATGTTTACTTGCTTTTCCATTTCCCTTGGTGGAGTTAAGAGGGAAGGAATCCTGGAATCAGCTTCTACCAGTTTAAGGGTAGACCATAATTTAGTGTGGACTATCCAGGAGAGAATGCAAGTCTTAGCTTTGTCTGCAGGGAAGGGTGGACCCAAAGATGAGTTTTTAGGGTGTTTTATAGTTTATTTCCAATAGGGTCCCTTCTCTGAGAGGCCAGTGCACCTCAGCCTAGGGCACTGTCATGCTTGCCTTGGATAATGAGTATTGGTTCTCTGTGAAGAAGAAAGACATTCCTGTGGGAGGTTTCCTCTTCCTCTCACCAGAGAATCACCAGCAAATTAAAAATGCTCAATTAAACCCACTCAACCTAGCTGTAAGTAGCTGTCATTAGCCATTTAACTAATAACCCTAATGAGGATGATAGAAACTAGTCTTATCTACCTTCACCCTCACTGTAATCACAAGTTAACATTACAGCTTGGAGGAGTGGGAGGGAAGGAGGAGAGAGGAAAGAGAGAGATTTTCATGGCTAGCTGGGCTGTATCATCATGCCCACATCTCCATAGCAATTGTTGCCATAGTATCAACATGGCCTGTGTGATTAAAGAATATAGTTTATTTTTAAGAGAGATGGAATAAAGAGCCAATGAAGTGCTGGGAAGATTTAACAGGAAGAGGACGTAATCTTTATTCTTCTATGTTCCATATTATCCTGAGTCTCTGAATTTAACTTTGCAGAATCTTTAAAGATAATTACATACTTTTTCTACAACTGCACATGTAGAGAGTGACTGGTAGAGCACATATAGTGGGGGTGAAAGCAGAGGAAGACAGAGATAATACTTATAAGCTTCAGGACTTGCACACAGTCTGCTTTTCTCAGAAAGGTAACTGATCCCACTGTGAGGTTCTATTAGTTAATGACGCTTACCAGGACAATGTGCCTCATGCACCATGCAGCCAAACAGCAGCTAACTGTAAAACAGCACACATATAAGACCTAATAATGATGATAATGATGTAACAACAAAAAAATCAACTGAGTCATGATTAGTGCAAATTACAGAGCTTGGGTTTAAACAAGTCACCTGTGAAAGAAAAAGGTTATTGTACTGCCAGCCAGTAGTAAACAAGCTACAATTAAGCTCTAGTTTGCAAAATTCATGGATTGTTAAGAAAAAACTATGATCTAAATACTGAAATTCATTATTAAGGATAATCGGGAAGTTACAGAGCAAAGAAAGCAGCACCATTTCTTGCACAGAGGCAAAAGAGGCTTCCTATTATCTTCCCATGCCTTACTGAAGCACTGACCTATCTCTGTGTCATGGAGTTTTCTGTGTCGTTAACTGACAAGGACCAAAGCTTTTCCATGCTTGGTGTCAAGGAGATGTTCTGAGATGAGAACCACTTCAAGGACCGAGTTTGACTTGGGCCACAGCAACTAATTGCTGATACTATAGGGCTGTTGCCCCCCTTTTCTACATTTCTGACCCTGACTGATCTCAAGGCTGAAGTCTGTAGTCCTGAGTGAGCAGATGTCTAAGGGCCCTAAGTATGAAAGAACTCAGCTGGGTATTCCTCAAACAGTCCAGGCTGGAGAGAGTAGTCTTTCCCCAGTCAGTCTCAGACTCCTCAGTATGAAAAGATATTAAAACCCCCTGAAGGTGATTCAAATGAACAAATCAAAATAGGCAGTGGAAAAAGGAATGGGTGAGTGAGAAAAGGGCAGTACTAATTGCCCATCACAAAAGAATGTTCATGTTGAAGAAGCTTCAGGTCTAAACTAAAAGACTCAACCAGGACCTCATTGTTGTAATTGAGGTTTTTATCCATTGTCTCATTTGATCCCAAGCTTAATGGTCACAGGCTCTTTCCTTGACAAACAGTGCTGTCAGCACTTTGGGCATGCCCCATACTGTCCAGTTTAACAGCACTTCTTCATGCACTTAAGACTGCATAGTGCAGGCAAGGACTGCCCCAGGGCCGTGCAGAGGGGGGATCATGGCAGTGGTACCAAATCTGTTTGTCTGCACACCTGCACAGGTGGCACAGCACTCCTTTTGGGAAATGTACCACAGTGAGAAGGAAGGAACTGCTCAGTGCTGGGAGATCTGTTTCACTGTACAGCTGGTTGCTCTTGAGCAACTGCAGAGCTCCAGGAGCCTGGCACAGGCACTGCAGACAGTCCAGGTCCCAGACCCTGATGAGGGGCTGGATCCTGTCACACCAGTCCCTGGCATGGGGAACCCTTGCTACAGCCATGCAGTATCTCCCACTGTTTCTGTGGAGGGCAAAAAGCTGACTGAGGATGGGAGAAGAGTACTAGTGCTAACTAGTTACTATGACCTGTTCCCTCATTTTGCAGTCTTACATTCTGAAGGTTCTGGAATTCAAGACTGTTAGTCTCCGTGAATAATTTCCACAATCTTTTCAACCTAAACAAGTAAGAAACTGAGAGAGAACATGCTCCTCTCTGAGGGAAATGAGACATCCCTGCTACCCACACCCTAGCCTTGGCAGCTAGTATGGTTCCACTTCTTCATAAGCACTGAGAGACCAAGGGAGGAGCAGGGAATCTTGGGGAATAAAACCAAATTCATCCCCTCCTATGCTGTCAGAAGATAAAGAGGGAGGTTAGTACTGCTCCCTGCTCTTCAGGATGACAGTAAATATTACATGGTTGCAGATACTGCTCAGCCTTACTAGGGATTAAACCTGGCTGCAAACCTTCCCCTGATAAGGACTGGCTATGTTGGGAAGGAGACAGGAACACGCAGAAAAACAGTAAAGGAGAACCATTACCAAAAAGCAAATACCTCTGATTTAGCAACTTACTTTTTCCTTTCCTTATCCCTTTTAAGAGTTTGTGATCCTCCAGCCTGTTGAGCCTGTGACTGAAGCAATTCAGCTGCTGTCTTCCTTTGTTTAAATGCATTTACTTCATCATCCAGAGATTTCTTCTTATCCTCTAGCTTCTTCTTTTCATCCTGATGCAATTTCTTCAGGCGATCAAACTTTTCATGCAGCTAAAGGGAAAGGAGAGGTGAGCAGGACATGGCACTACCAGATATTCTGTTCACAGGAAAAAAGGAAGATGGAAGGATCCCTTGAGATCTGAACCTGTGAATCTCCATTGGTCTCCACATCACTTCTAGCTCCTGAGCTGTCGCTGCCCAAAGGGCAGGGAACAGCCTCCTTCCACAACAACTAACAGGCAGTGTTCTAATGATGCATCATTGTGCAGACTAAGAACAGAGGATTGGGAGAGCATAAGTGTAAAACAAAACCCTAATCCATCTCCAGGGGTCTTTGCCTTATTCCTCTTTAAAGGTCAGTAAATTAATGGATTTTTCACAATCCTAAGAAAGTTGTATGGGTGTATTTTTTGTAAAAAAAGTTCATCTCATGGGCTTCTCTCCTTGACTTTCACCACACTGCAACCTTCCATTAGAATCAAGACTCTGGCCCCTTCCTGGTGCAGTAAGTTGTACATAACAAGCACTGTGATTCAGTTTTGTCCTACAGACTGAACACCTTAACATCCCCATCCAAGTTAAACCTCAGACTTCTCGGTAAGAAAGTCCTAAACCACACTCCGCAGAAAGCGCTTTGGCAATAACTACCTACTTGGGAGTGAATCTATCACTCACAGCCATGAAGACACAAGTACTTCAGTCTTTACCTCTTTTTCAGCCTCCTTCAACTCTGCTTCTTTTTCCTTGACCCTCTGGACAAACATCTGTCTCATTGCCTCTTCCTTTTTCTGCAGTTCTCCCAGAAACTCATTTCTTTTGGCTTCGTAAGTTTCTTGTAAGCTGAAAAGGAAGGAAAGTCCAGTGATAAGAATTGGGACAAACTGCTTTCCCTGATCCTCTGAAATCAGGCCCTCACCATGACTATTGCTTTGCACACAACACATTTGCTACTCACTCACCCACATATGCCCAAGGTCTTCTTTATCCAATGATTTTTGGCACTTCTCTGTATGTTGAATGTTGGGCAATTCAAAGAAACCAGCTGGCAACAAACACTAGTTCAGAGGAACACTACTGATGATGCCTTAAGATTTTAGCCTTTATATTTTTCAACTCCTGTCCTGCATTAATGCATAATTCTAAACTCCATATAAAGTGTTAGTTAACTGTCTTCACATTTTGGTCAGACAAAACAATCCCTCTGGGCCTGAGATCCAAGGACAGCCTACAGCATCAGGCCCCAAAAAGTATAAACAAAAGTGAATTGGGGAGAAGCAAACTGGGGGTATATGACTTGATAACCTGAAGCCATAATTGGAGGATTAACACTTGATATGTAAATATATAAAACTTATATCTGTCTGAAAAACTCATGACCATCGTCCATTTTGTGTGTAGCCTCTTAGGGAGGCTTTGTCTGCCCTTAATGTACCTGAAGGCCCTTTGTTAAATATATCCACTTTTACCCTTTTAACTTTGTGTGGCCTCTGTTTCTAGGCAAGCCCAAAATAGCCATCACCGTCTCTCTGCAGCAGACGTTTCTACTCCCATACTTGCAGATTCACAGTCAGTCCTGCACATCCTCCCTGTATTTTCATCTTCTCCCAGTCAGACCTTTGCTGAAGTCTGGATTTATCTGACCTGGTAGTTTTTCTTGCTGCACTGTTTTTTTCTGTGCTCCCCCAGGGACACACACACACACACACACAAGCACATAGCGCCTCTATCCAACAATGCCTCTGTTAAGGTCTCCTGCCTCTCCCAGGATCTCACCTGAAGGGTTTGCTGTCTGGATCAGTGTCCTTGAAACCCATCTCTTCCAGTTTACATCGCCTGTAGAGCTCATAGTGGCGTGTGTGGGTCTGCTCACGGAGGTCTTCCATGTTCACACGGATCAGCATCTCCCGCAGCTTCACAAAGTCACAGTGAGCTTCATTCTCCACTGTAAGAAGACATGGTAAGGAGGAAAATGGGGACAGAAAATTAGATCTCTTCCCACATTCCTCTATTGTCTACTCCTCCAACAGGTTTAACAGCCCTTCCAAGCAGAGAAAACTGGCACTATAGGCCTGAGATAAGGATTTAACAAAGGACAATTCCCCATGGATAATCAAGTCCAGCAGGTCCTTGCTCCTTTTATGAAATCCCACTACCTCCTTGCACAAGTGTCACCACTCATGCCATGAAAATCCCAGGGCTCAACTCACCCTGCACTGTGCCCCAAGGGTACTGACGAGCTTTCATCATTTTGTTTCCTATTTTCAGCTCCTCCGTACTCCCAATCACTGCAAATGGCAAGTGGGCCTGGAACACATTTAATGATATCCATGTTAGTCCCTCTCAAGACCTGGCTGACCCACCAGCACACAGAGATGAGCACAGCCACTGAGCAAGACAGTCATTATGCACACGCTAATCTCAGGGAGTCTAGTCACTGGCCACTAGTCCAAGACAAGGGGTAGCAGGGTGGGTCCTTTTTTGGAAACCTTGTTAGTGCTACCACTCTATATCCTCTACCTGGCTGATCCTCCCAGCCACAGAGTCTCAGGTGAGATGAGCCAGTGCAAGACTAGCATCAGAGTGACAGCTGGAACAGAGTGCTGCGGCTCGGACTGCGGTGCTGTCCCAGGGCTTGCCGTGCCTGAGGAGAACATCTGCACAAGCACAGAAGCAGTAAGAGGTCTTGGAGCCTTCTTGATTTTATCCCCCCACCACTCCTCTAGCTCATGCTGGAGCACAAGACACCTTGCTCCATCAGATCATGAGATGGAAGTCCATCCTTCACCCCCTGAGTAACAGCTCCTTCCTCCCTGCTTGCTTCTGCCCTGGTGAGAAAGGGCTGAACATGTCCCCAGCCACTGTGTCCAGTGTGACCCAAGGTCACACTCTTCAAGCTGATATATGCACTCCACATTATACAAAGGCTGACTAAGAACAAGAGGGATTTTCTTTTCAGAAACTCAGAAATCAGAAACAGTCACTTTTTAGTAAGGACTATGTCTCAGCAGAAGGCAAAAAGAGACTTGCCCAGTGCAAGCTCAGCAAAACTGGAACTGAAACTCTCCCAACACCTATCTAGGCTCTGAAGATCTCACCTTATAGTCTTCTCATTTCTAAAACTCAGGCAGCCAAGCAAACCCCCCAGACATTGCCACTGTACTTTGCTGGATTCTTCTGTGAGATTTCTCCCCACCTCCCTTGCTCCTGGGAACTATACTGCATTATGCCAAGCTGCAAGGAAGTCAAGTGCAGAGCTTCAGCACTTTGAGTTCCCAGCTCTTTGCACTAACCTCTTCTGCTGAGTTTTGTGAAGTGACATTTGTTAGGCAAAGCTTTTGAAGTGCACCAAATTCTGGACAATTGAAGGAGCCTCAGGAAGCCAACTATATGGAAGATCAGTGACCCTGGATTGCTCTGAAGAGCAGGTAGTGAATTCTACAGGTTATCCAAAAACTTGGACAAGTTCATGACAGCTGGTACAAGCAGAAGATTTCAGAGATGATGTTTTTCTGAGTGTTGCTTATACAGTCAAACTGTAAACAAAGCAAAACTGCCAGCAAGTGCTCACAGAGATGGGCTCTTCCTCTTATCCCTCAGCCCCCTGTTCTCACATGGGACACACACAGAGTAAGACTAATATTTGTCTTATGTTTCTAATGATATCAGTATTTGGATACAAGTTTTTTAGACCTGCAAAATTCTGGCCTGCTCAGTCCCCATAAACCTGGTAATTCTGACTGTAATAGAGGATTAAAGAGTTGATTTGTCTGTGCAGTGACTGACACAACCCAGAACATCTGCAACCCGAAATAGCAATTCCCTCCCAGGAGAAAAGTAAATGGCTGAAAGGAAAGACAAGCAGAGGTTCACTTCCAGCCTCAGAAAGACTAACACTGAACTGCTCTGACCAGGAAACCATCACTGACAGCTCCTACATCAGGACAAAATTCATGTTTCTTTCAGGCCTCTCCAGAACACTCTACAACTATTAATACTAAATCAAGAGGTGGCACAAATGAACATCAGCTAGACCTCTGCTACATCCACAGCAGTAAAGCAATCAACTTCCCCTACTTGATTTCCTGTGAAAAGACCTCTGGAAAATGAGACCATGGTCAGGATGCGCTGCCAGAAGGGCCAAGGGACAGCCTGCATTATCCTCAAGGAGCCACAGACAGGCACCCACGATGCTGGGAAGGCCAGAGCCAGAATGGGCACCTGCAGGCACCTCAAGGTATGTGTGGCCCAAGTTGTGTGCTTTTCACACCTTGCTGGTTAAGCTGTGTAATTCCTTGACACAGGATCCTTGTGGGAGGCCATCAGGTGATCCACAGGACAAGAATAATGACAATCTCTTGAGCTGAAAAGGGTTTAAACACTGATTTCTTATATGGCCCTCAGCAGATAGCACGAGGACAAGGAGGATATTAAAAGCCCGTTTGCTGACTAGAAAAGCCCACCAGAGAGGCAGCAGCCTACCACAAAGCTCTCCTAGCCTAGGATGACACTACAAGGATGAGATTCTTGTGAAATCCTCTGTTTTTATGACACAAAACAGAAGGGAAAGTAGATTTAAGAAACATTCCAATATGGGCCACCAATCTCTACACTAACAGTGCTGTTCTGGGAGAGGAGGAAGAACCGTGTCACTTACATTCATTGTCCCATTTATCTCTGCCACTGATTCATCGTCTGTCGGGAACTGGTAGATCTGGACCCCATTACTGACCAGTTCACTTGTGATTTTAATTTTAAACTTGGTCAGCTCACTCTTGGAAATGGCATCAGATTTGGCAATGATGGGAATGATATTCACCTAGAAAAAAACAGAGGTATGAAGTAATCAACTTTGCTCCCAGGAGTTTCTCTAAGTCTGTAATACAACCTTCAAAAACTTGTAAGTGCTCAATAAATCTGCCTACTCTGTCATTTCCACCAGAAGGGCTATTCAAGGTGGAGAGATCCTCTGGAAAAGCAGCAGCCTTTCCACTATGCAAACAGTAAATCTGCCCAGTAAGAGTTACTTGTGCCAACCTTGCTGTCAAGCTTCTTCATCGTTACCAAGTCCAGGGATTTCAGAGAATGGCCTGTGGGAGCAATGAAGTACAAGCAAGCGTGGATCCGGGTGTCATGGTAGTTGTGCAAGACCCTTTTTATCTTCAGTTCTTCTTGCAAGTAGGCCTCAAACTGAGCATCAATGAACTCAACGATGGGCTTATAGCTGTGGTGAAAGGAAAAAAAAAGCTATACATCTCACAGTCAGAGAGCTAAACACATACGACATTTCCCCTTGGCTTGCTTTTAAGAAATAAGCTATTGATAGATTTTACTTTCCATTTTCCATGTTCTGAGACCAATTCTCTCTACCTCCCTTTCTCCCCACCTGTAAGAAAGGTTAAAGTTGCACTGCTGACAAGGAGACATAGTCGTACATCAGACACTAGCAGCCTGTTTGTCAAAACACAGTACTGGGATTCAGCAGAGGACAGCAGATATACCATCCTCTCCAGGGAAAGCAGACTCTCATATTTTGAAATGCAAGAGTGGGAGACTTTCTAACACAAGGCTAATGTAGACTCACTTGCAGCAGTGGGTGACCCTTGCTTACACTCAGGGCTTGCTGTTCTCACAGCCCCAAGTGCTGCTGGTGGAAGACATAGCTTCATTCAGTACTGCCTTTGCACAGTGCTCTGAGGCAGGAAATTCCTGCAATTGCCTTGCAAGGCCTTCTGAAATACAGAGCCTGCCAGACTCATAATAAGGACATCAGTACATTTTAAACAGACTTTAAAAAAATATTTAATAGATCTACAAAAAAGCAAATCCCATCAGCAACGTCTCTGTCAAGATGCACCTTGGAGACTGTCTGGTGTAACTGCACATCCCTCAACCAACACACTCCAGCCACTCTGGGATCTGAGCTGCCAGAGACATTCCCCCAGGGTATCTCACTGCACATTTATCATGCTTCCTTGGTTCTTCCCATGGAAGAGCCCTGCCAAAATGGATATTAAGCCAAGCAGACACTAAACCAAACTAGTGGTTTGGTCAGCAGCTTGAGGTCAGCACAAACCAATACAAGCCCAGATGTCCTGGAGCATTTCAGTCTCCCCACCAGATGAATTTGGGCAGAAGGTTGCCAGCAGGGCAGAAATTGCTCTGACAGCATGAGAAAAGCTGCTTTATAGCTGAAGCAGCGCTGACACTCCAGAGCCTCTGTCCTCTCTTCTACCTGTCCCATCCCAAAGAGGTGACAAAGACAACTCCTAAAAAGCAAGCAGGAAAACTCCAGTGCAGTCAGGCCCAACTAGGGCACAGGGAGAATGAAAAGGTCACAATATAGCCTCTCTCCCCCACACTCACCTGTCCTCTTTGTTGATCTGATCCCCAAAGCCCACTGTGCTCACAATAGTCAGCTTGAGGTTGACATTGCTCTCCTGCAGGTCATAGGTACTGGATTTCAGCTGGACCCCAGGCTGTGAGTGAGATGCTGGGTCACCTTCAAACTTGGTGTTGAAAAGGGTGTCCATGAGGGTGGACTTACCAAGGCCAGTTTCCCCTATTGGAGAAAAAGAGAGTTAAAACGTTCTGTTGAATATTAATATGGGTTGGTCTTTCAGCTTCCAAACATTAACAGGGGTGAAATTGTAGCAGATGAAAGCAGATCTCATGCTCCCAAGGGAGCGTCTGGTAAACAGAAAGCCATGAACAATGGGAGGTCTGTGTTCTGGGCAAATTACATTTCACAGTCTAATGGCCCTTAATGTCATTAGAAAATAGAGATGAAAAGAAAGAGGTGAAAAGGCGAAGGGGAAAGCATCGTTCAGATCCTGCTTAAACCCACAACTATGCTACAGAAGATGCTGTTTTCATTAAAAAGTGGGAGAGGAAATGGGGCTTACTGCCATTTCCAAAAAAAAGCTGCTCTAGGATCAATGTCTCTAATAAGCAGCCACAGAAATAGCTTCCTGCCGTGCAAAAACCCTGAGAGCTGGTTCAAGTCCCACAGCAAGTTGTGCAGTTGGTTTCACATAACGAGCTGGAGAATCAGGCTTCTGCACTGGGAGGGGGCATTTTCTATAATATCTGGTTTTGTACCTTAGGGACTACACAAGCTGTACAATATTGCAAAATCTGCTTCCAAAAGTTCTGTTAGTATTGTCAGTATTCTGCCAATATTCTATCAGTATTGAACTGCTATTTGGTTTTCATTTATCAACAGGCAACTATTTCCTTGTCTGGAAGGAAGAGACAAATCCCAGAGACCAGTCTTGAATTTGTTTTAGATACATCCCAGAAGAATAAAACAAATCCCTCTGTGCACACGTTCCACAGGGCAGCTTCCCTTACCAGGCTCTGACAACAGAGTCAGCTCTCCAAGCTCACAGGATCTGACTTCCTACACAGTCTGGTCTGTTGCCTTGTGAGGGCTGCTGTGTTTTGGGGAAACAGCAGTTTCTGAGCTGCCCAGTCGGCTTTTGGAGAAACTTCAGGAGCAGACGAACCCCACCCTCTGTGAAAGCTGCTCCTCCAGCCTGCTATGGGACCACAGGGAAACTTCTGTCTGGCTGCAAGAACATTCCCCTGCTTCCCCCAGCCCTCTGCTCCCAACCAAAACAACTTCACCATCTTCCCACTTTGCTCAGAATAAAAGAGCTTTTTATTTTTGTAGGTTTAGAGCTCTGTAGCAGATCCAAACTTGCATGAAATGCCTAATTCAAGAAGAGGAAACTCCTCCCCATCCTCCCCTGTCCAAATGTCCAAATCTCCAAGCCTCACCCCTGAAAGCAGGCAAATTCCTGTTCTGGCCTCAGAAGGGATTTTCCTCACTCAGGGCTGAAGTACACGGCAGAGCAAGGCAAACATAGAATCATAAAATCATAGAATGGTTTGGAAGGAAGACTGTCTAGTTCCAAGCCCCAAATACCCTGCTCTGGGAACTGAGCAGTCCCTGATTGCCAGGATGGCATATCCAGTATCTTTCCAGAGGCAGCAAGATCCATTAACTTTTCAAAGTCAGTGTACACCTTGAACTGCAGAACTGCCTGGGAGCCAGCTGAGAGCTTGTGCTCCATCACCAACCAACACCAACTACAGCCAGAACAGTCACCAGTGCAGTTTCTCTTTGCATCAATCCAAAGGGGAGAAGAAGGAGTCAGCACCAGGAGCCAATGTGGCTGCAGTCCCTTGTGTTACCTCAATGCATCAGCTGTACCCACAACAGCACTGGCCAGAGCAAGAGAGGGAGACCTAGCAAAGCACAAGATTACCTCTGTCACTGGAAGAATAAGCTGGTCCAACAAGCCCTTCATTGACTGGGAATCTCATTGTCGGGACTTGTCAGGGACCATTTGCCCCCAATGCAGAGCAGGTACTCAAATCAGACCAGAGCATTGCCATGGTTTGGACAGGGATTTTGAGAGTTAACAGCCAACAGCCTGTATGACCTCCCAGGCCGTTCTCAGGGATTCCAGGAAAACAGCAGTGTAAAAAAAGACAAAAATCTAAACAGCCTGAGAAGGCTGCAACATTTCCAAAGCCCCTGCCAAGGGATGGGTGGGACAGAGCAGTGAGCTGGCTGCTTGCCTGTGAATGCCAGGAACCCTGATGGAATATATCTCAGGATAAGGGAGTCCCTCAGCCATGCAGTGCAGGAAAATCATCCACACACAGTCCTGCAAAGCCTCCTCTTGTGCCACTGCCCCACAGCCTGGCAGGCCCTGGCACAGCTCCAAGGCTACAGGACAGGGTGACAGGGGTGCAGCAGCAGTGACCAGGGCAGGGAGCTGCTCTCTGCAATGGATACACAAAGTCATCTGTAAACCTCACTGGCTTCAGGGCACACAGCACCCTGTAAGTCACCTCTCATTTCTGCCTCCCTCCTTCTTTTGGGTGAAAGATGTTCATATGAGGCCAAGACTATTCTTTAAGCACATCCTGAACCTCTTAATCATTGCCTACTTTAAATCCATCTAAAGTGTTTTTTCCCAGCAGGAGTGACTTTAACTGTCAGAGAGGCTAGGAGAAGTGTTTAAGAGATGCAGAACATGCTTTTACACTGCACCTCATGCCAGCTACATAGGGCCAGTAACGGCAACTTTGAACTCAAACACTGAGTTTTTCCTTTTGTAAGGAAAAGATTCCTTAAAAAGATTCCTTCTGTAAGGAAAATTGGAACTGTGGCATTTTTCCACAGGTGAGAGTTGCCCATCCAAACACCTTCATAAAACATCGAGGCACTAACATGGCATCTCATATGAAGTCTGCACTCCCAAATTTACATTTACAGCAGATACCCCTGTCCCTGCACTGTGTAACTCCACTGACTTGACACAGAATTAAAGCCTGACAGGGAAGATGGAGAAAAGAGGAAAGACTCAGCTGAAAGAATGTTAACACTGACAGAGTGACATGAAACGGTAAAAGACTAAAGCCTCTAACAAAGTATTCTGCTGTGTTAAATATGAGCAGAGAGAGGGAGCATTGCTATTTTGAAGGCCAAAACAACAGAAGGAAGAATTTCTGAATCTTCTGGGAGTTTCTGCCTCACACAGAGGCAACTTTTTGCTGGCTGGAAGATGTGAGTGGTGCCAACTGCTTCTTTTAAGGATAGAAGTCCAGATGGAACAGACAGCCTGATAAAATGGACAAATGGTCTGTGTTGTTCCAGCCAGTGGCACTGGAATCTTCCCCAGAAAACAGAAATGATGAACAGGGATTAAAAGAGACAGAATTACTTTGAAAAAACAGCAGTGTACACAAACCGAGTGAGAGGCATCCCTGGCAGGGAGATTATTTCCTGATGTCAGGCTTATGGACACATGGGATTTGATCTCCAAAACCATACTTAGGGATTATGCAACTCAACAGTGGTCTGCTGTCCCCAAACAGGGCTAACAAAGCTCTGTGGGGAGGACAGGACAGGGAGAGTGACCTTTACTGGTAGAGTTCTGCACCAGGAAGATGTGACAGCAATGGAAAAGCTTGAGTGTTGTACCTTTCATCACGGAATGGAGTTTTGCTCTTAAGTCTGACAGTTTCCAAGGTCATTAAAAAAAAAATGGCCAGAGCCACCACCGCAGGTTCTGGACATGTAACAGCCCTACATCAGTGATCAGAAAGCACCATCTACTCTTAACGCCCAACAGCCTGGCTGTGCTGGGCTCCCCACACATCCTCTCCTTCTCCTGAGACACGGTCCCTGCTCCAACTGCACATGCACGTGGTATCTTCACTGCTCTATGGAAGCGCTTCATCAAATCTCACACTGATGGAACAGTGGTGGCAGTGCTTGTAAAACTAGAGCTGGGACAAGCTCCTAACTTCCCACACCAAGACAGGCATCTTTGTGCTGAGTGACCTTTCATGACTTCTTTTCACAGAACTTTTAGCATCCTAAGCACCTGCAGCAGTGAGCTGAATTATACACCACAAAAGCTGTACCTCCTCTTTTTGTGCCTGGAAATTTAATTTGCTTTTCCCTAGCATGTGCTGAGTGAAACAAGCAACTGCTCACTGCCCCCCTTTCCCACAATACTCAGGATTTAAGAGGCCCCAATCATATCCTCATCAATCGACTCTGTGGGAGGACAGAGGAGCGCTTGAAGTATTTCCCTGTTCAAAGGCAGGGAGTAGCTTTCACAAGAGCTTCCTTTCATGAGCAAGCAGCACCTGTCCTTCACAAGATTAACAACCGTGGCTCCAGATATCAAATAATTCAATTTTAAATAAAATGTATATGCATGCACAACCTTTTCATGTGTAGAAATGGGAGCTAATCCAATGTAGCAGGTTTGTTGAGACAAGCCCTGAGGCAACTCAGACTGATAAGGCCACGTCTCAAGGAGAGAGGGAAAAATAGTTTGTTTCATCTGACAGGCATGCTGAAACAATTCCCCACTGCAAGGCAAAGGCTGGGCTGCAGGGACAAGGAGGGCAACAAGGGCTCACAAAACACACTGAAACACCACCTTAGAGGAGCACCCAGCTCCCAGCATCCACCCCAGGGCACCAGTGGCACAGGGCAGGAGAAGGCTGAGGAGACAGATGGCTTTTTGATTAGAGAAACTGTTCTCTCCTCAGTTGGTTGCACCAGTGACCACAGAAACAACCACTGGACAATTTCCAGGCTGTACAGCTCATCACCCCAGAATGCTGCCTGCTGGAGAGCACCAGGAATCCTGTGCACATCCCTCCCTCCTCCAAGGTGAGAGCTCTTGCCCATCACAGGCTCACTCTTTTGGAGTGAGAGATCTCAAACAGCCTTGGTACAGTCCCAGGGGAAAGTGAAGTATTTCTGCCACAAAACAGCCCTTCTCACTGCACTGAATAGGCCAGTTAGAACAAATTCCCAGCAAATCCTGGGAGAGAGGAAGGGGCGAAATCCTGCTTAAGTTGGGATACTAGTTTAATGCAATTACAATTTATCCTGGCAAAAACTGAGAAAGTTTACATAAAAAAACAGCAGCCTGTTCCTCTTCTTTTTCCCCTATCACACTGAGAAACAGTCAGCACAGAAAGTCTCAGTCATTAAACACTTCAGCCTTTGCACTGATCAGAGAGGCAACTAAAAATTTATTACGTAAGATTAGGAAGAAAACGGTTGTGCTGAGAAATAAAAGATCAAAGCAACCATCTGCAACCCCTAACAACTAACGAGAGGTTTTCTCATTTATTCTAGCTTTGGCTCTAGTCTCAGAGGGGAGAGAGCTTTCAGCATGAGAAGAGCTAAAAACTGCTCCATTCTGGACATGCTGCTGAGAGTAATTTCTGAAGCTTTCCTTGGCTTCTCCAGCAAGAGCTGGAGGAATTGGTGGCTCAGATCCAGTATGACACAGAGTAGAATTATCACTGGATTTTTCCTCCAACACATGCCACACAGAGCTGAAAAATGGGGGGCAATGACGTGCCTTTCTGTCATGCCTAGTGGGCTGTCTGTGGGATCCTCATCCAATCTTCATTTGCTTCCTTGTTCTTTCAGCTTTTCATCCCAAATTCTGCTGTACAAGTGAAATCCAATGGAATGGAATAAATGACACATGAACACTGGGAATTTTTGCTTTCTTTTTCCAGGATGTTTAAGTGTGGGGGCAAAGATCTGCAAATCTTTTTATCATGAAGTTTATTATATTTTTCTATAAAGTTTCTTTATTTCAAGATTGTGTTATTATTATTCATAAAAAACTGACATTAGTAACTAATGTACATTGATCTTGGTGAGCAATTAATGCATTCCATTTCTGCTCTGCAAAGAGGAAAGCACAGGCATTCAGCTCCTCTCCACACATCAAAGTGAAGATATAACTACGGGTGGCACCCACTGCTACACCTAGAACTTGTAAAAAAACACTGCAGCCTAGTAAGTGGAAAAGGAAACACTTTTAGACTTCAGTTGTGGGGACAGGAGATTCCTTAGGTCATATCACATTCATGTAATGTGGAAATCACCAGAGACTCAGCCTGACAGTGACCTCCACTTGTCAGCAAAGTTTACCATCTCACAGGAATGAGGTTGTAAGGAAAATTGTCTTCTCAGCTCCACTTAACAGGGCTCAGCTCTACTCTCCTTGCTCTACTACTCTCGTTTCAGAATTAACCCTGTTCTGGGCAAACACCAGGTCCATACCATGAGCTGCATCTCTCATGGGAGAGGACAGAAAACCTCAGTGTGCATGCAGAACTGACCACCAGCTAAGTCTCCAGGAGGTATCCACAGCTGCTGCTCTCCTCTCTGTCACACCAGGCACTGCTGGGATCATCTGCAGACAGGGCTAGTCCAAGCATCCATGGCCATGCAATAACCTCCTGCTACCAGAGGCAGGGCACTGGCAGCAGCAAACCCATCTGACAACTATTAATTGTCTATTTTTAATTTCCTAATTCACCTTCCCAAACTATGGCACCAAAGCCATACAGAGTTTTACTTCTGTTACCTAAAAGAAGGGATTATTTAGAATCCTAACCCTGGGGAAGACCTGTGAGATTGGCTGCAGGGACAGACACCAAGTCCTGCTACAGTGCCAGGCCCCAGCTGTGATCCACACCACATGGCAGCTTGGATAATTGTCAGAAGAGTTAAGGCTTGGCCAGACACTATCTTAATTCAAGTATGCACAGAAGGGAGGAGAAAAAATAGCTTTTAGTGATTTAAGAGGAACATGACTAGTATTTTGTTAAAATAATTATAATAATCACAATAATAATTCAATACTTAACCAAACAAGACCTCATAACAAAGTACTCTGGCATGTGGACCTATTTCTTTTAAAAATGTGAAATTCAAACATATGAGGAAAAGAAAGATCATAATAACAGCCTGTGATTTTAGGCATTTTATTACACTGCTTGGTAAAATGCCATACTGCAGAACCCCAGTGGGGATTTCCCAGAGCACCAGTAAATCTTGTTACTGAAAATAGAACAGTTGGGGAAATTTAAATCAAAGCTACCTTGTTGGTGCTGTAAGCTACAAGGCTACATCCAGCTGCAGAAAACTTCAGCAAGAGAACTTCCCAAAATGGAAATACTCACCCACACACAGGATGTTGAAACAAAACCCATGATTAACTGACTTATTAACCAGCTGGTCAGGCAAACTATCAAATCCTACGTGTCCAGAAAGTGGGACAGTACGACAGCCTTCACCCTGAAATAGAATGAAATAGAGTTATGTCATTTTCAAGCAAATACATTTCTCTGTATAAGCCCTTAAGACCTCCCAAGTGGAATCAATTGCACAGTCCCAGCAGAGATTTTCACAGATCTGTCAATCATGTCAGCATGCTTCACTCTTCTCTAAAACAATTCCAGGAGGCACAAATAAAACATTTAATTTGCCAAACATCTAAAGGTAGGTAGCCCTGACAGAACAACACTAAATTGTGCAAAACATGTACACAAACACAGCTGCTGAAATAAAGAGGTGAAAAATACTTGTTTCTTCAAAAAATATGTGGAAATTCAAATCTCACCTTACACTGAAAACAAAAAGAATCCTCTGTGCAAAGCAATGTATTTATGACACTACCTCCTACAAGCCTATTACCATTCACTTTATGTGAATTGGAACTCACGTGTAATTCCCATTCACAGTTGCAATTATAGAAACTAGCTAGAAGCAGTAGGAAAAACTGTACCTACAGGAAAACAAAGCAGAGAAGTGTCCAGAACTGAGCTGCTCATAACCCTATAGGCCTGAAGGAACCTGCCACGAGTGGAGGCACCCAAACCTCCTGCTGGGGGCAAGGGCTGCTCCTGCCCAGCCACCCAAAGGACTTCCTGAGAAGCTGCTCCTGCACCCTGCTCTCTCCTGCGCTCAGCATCACTGATCTGGTCTCCCCAGCCAAGCAGAACATGCGGTGCTCCATGTCCAGAACATCCACGAGCTTTGGGAGGGGGGTCAGAAATTTTCACCTGCCCAGTCTGTGCCAAGGCATGCTGGGTCCCAACCCTGCCCAGCTGACATAAAACACGACACGGGGAGGTTTAGCCTCAGAAATGGCACAAGGCAAAATGAAGAGTCAGTGCTGCACCCCTGTACTGGTGTGTACTGGAAAGTTGTCCTCCTGCAGCCTCAATAATGTTATTTCCCTCTCTGAAGCAAAGGCTTTTCTTAAAAATGTATTTTAGTGTGAAAATCAGAAAGTTCCCCTCAAGCTTTCCATCAGTTTGCAAAAAATACTACAGCCAAAAGGCAGTAGTTTATAGGGTGTGATTTTGAATTTATTTTTTCACAATCATGCTTTCACATATCTTGAAAGCCTGTTTATAGGGACAGGCATACTGGTTTTCCCTCTTCTGCTAATGGCACTGGTATTTTAGGCTGGGAAAACATCCCCAAGGAGTACATTTACTACAGTAGCCCGTCAGTATGATTTCTTGTTTTGTTACTGCTTTGCTGTTGTAGGCTTGTTTTGTTTTTTTTAGATATGAGTCTCCAAATACATTTCAATCATTAACCATATTTACCAGTCTGTGATGTGTAAATATGTTTCCCCTTAGCCATATTTTGTGTATTAGTCTGACTCTTCCTGACAAGATGTTCACCAAATATGGTGCTTCATTAATTTTCGAGCACCTTCCCTCCTAATGACATATGAGGAAGGCACTCAGCCTCCCCAGCAGATTCTAGTTTTGCCTACTGATAATGAAGTCCAATAATGTAGAATCAGCTAAAGCAGAAGAAAATGAGACCATCAGACACACAGATTTTGTCAACACACTCAAACTCTCCTAAACTGCATTCACCAAAACAGAACTCCAGCACTGGGGAATCGCATGGCAGTGCTGGAGCTGCACCCCACGGGCTGGTGAAGGACAGAGGTGGGGACAGAGTCCACAAAGGCACAAGAGAGAACCACCAGCAGACGGCTCCTGGGGAAGGAGAAATATCAAGTGTATTTTTAATATTCAGCCTTAAAACTACACCTCTGGAAGACTGCTTGAACACTACTCTCCCCAGGAAGCGTGGGCAGGAGTGTGGGCTCTCATTAAGAACAAATCATCCCCTCATCCCTAAATATAAGTGTGATCCAGATGGAACAAAATAAATGGTAGAAGTTAAGCCACTTTCACCTAAGAGGAGGTATTTACCATCACACAGAATTCAGCCTGCAAGTCATTTCCTGTAGGTTCTTTTTCTAGTCACCTGTGGTTTTACAACGCAGTTAAACCACACTTCACATCTGGTACAGGCCAGGAAACCACTACTGCAAAATGTGTTTTCCAGTCACAGCAGCTAAGCCTCCATGTTAAGTATGCAGCCATAAGGTATATTGTGCTACTCTGCCTAAAAATCTACAGTCTCCTTGGCCAAGGCACCAACAGATTGGATGCAGCAGAAAAAAAACCAAGAAATAACGTTTTAAGATCAGTCTGGTTTTGACACACATCACAAAGTTGACAGCAATTAGCAAACCAGTGGAGAGAAAAGAAACATTTTCTGTCTGATGCACCAAGAAACAGTGCAAGCCACCAGTCTTCAAGCATCAAGTGGTGTCTCTGTACCAGAGCACTGCTATATATAAACAGCATCATCATAAACAACATATGAACACACTGATTAGTCATCCAGGGTGTACATTAAATGTAGGTTTGGATCCCCTTGTTCAACTCTGAAGGAGAATATGTTAAGCTTATAAGCTTTTTGCTGATAAGGTGCTCAAGACTGTCTTCCATCATTCATCCTCCAAAACACATCAAATTTAAAACATATAAAGAGGTACCAACAAGGTAAGTAAAGTTTAATTACTGTATGCATGAAAGCTTTTTCCAGGAGCATCAGTGAGCACTGGATGGCTGAGAGTCCTTTGTACTCTCTATTTTAAGGTTACATCTTCTTGGAACAAAGATGGAATCTCTGGAAAGCCAGTGTGAACACTGGCACCACACCAAGATACCAGATGCCTTTTTTTTCCCCATATACACAAAGTGACCCTCTGCCTAGACAGAATGGGCTGTTGTTGCTTGGGAGGAAGTGAAGCATGTTTGTCATAAACAAGCTTAAAAGAACAAAAAGAGCAACACACTCTCTTGCTGTATTATTAGGCAGGGCTATTGCAAAGTGAAAGTAAGGAGAGTAAGGAGCAGCCACTTGGAGAAGCTATTTCACTTCTTCCTTTTTTAGAAGGATTTATACAGCCTTTTGTAAGGGCTTCTCCATTACACAGAAGCCACCACTACCTACTCTAATTCTTACAGAAAACTATCCGAATCATATGGAAAATGCAAAGATATTATAATGAATGACCCCAAGCCTGAAAGCACCATACATTAACTATTAGTTTACATTAAAGGGGCAAGATTTAGTCTTCAGGTGTTTGAATGACTCCAGGGTCCCTGGGATGAAAAACGATTAGAGGAAAATCTTGCTGAATGCACATCTGTGCCCTGATCTGCTTAGCACGACAAGCAGGTACAGCACTGTCACCTCCCGATGTCCTCTGACCCCGAGAGGCTGCTGGCTCTTTGTGGAGATAAAGCAGAACACACGCAGTGGTGCTGCCATTGCAAATGTCAGCACTGCATATTCAGGACTGTCTGTGGCCAGGTCTAAAGGAATGGGAAAGAATACCATGGCAAAGGCAAAGCCTCCACCTGGTGATACTCAGGTAGGGCACAGCAAAGAAAATAAAGAATGTTACAGCTCTGAACCCAAGGGACTCAGTGTCCAAATGAGGCCCACACAGCATAAAACTGCTCTCAGAGGCTGCAGTACAATGCTCCATCTAGTTGAGTGTTTCTGCTCAGCACACTGACAGCTGACACTTAGTACTTCTGACACAATTTCTCACCTCTTCCCAAATGAGAATCACTTCAAACCCTGAGGACTTGGAGACTCCCTTAGAAAGATTTCCAAACAGCTGCAACAAACATAGCAGCACCATCCTGCAACAAAACCAAATAAAGCAACACTCACAGAGCTTCAGCACCGCTGCCAGTGTTCACAGCAGCCACCTCCTGCCCCTCTGCTGCCCTTAATGCTGAGACCTGGGGGCTTAACCTCCAAACCTGAAACAACTCTTGCACAGGAAGTCAAATGGCAAATAGTAAAGCAAGGCAGAACTTGAACTCAGGTTTCCACACCACGGTTTTTCACATCGTCTTTAAGTCAGAACAACATCAGATCCCTTCTCATGACCTTGGTATTATGGCATTCTCTTCCCCAGACTGCATTTGGTTCTGATTAAATAGCAAATTAGAGCAACACTTGTACCAATTATTTCTCACTTGTACAAGTATGTAATTCTCCTATATAATGAAAGAATTATCAGCAGACAGCATAAACATCCTCCACGAGATAAATGTTAATCAGGAATGTAAAGTCTAGTCTAAAGACTTTGTATTATTTTTCTTTGCTCAGCTGACAAAAGATCATCAAGAATATAAAAGATAAACACCAGAAAAGTGGGAGGGAAATAGTTTTGAATCAGGCCCCATGGAAAGCAAGAAGTGTCTCACCAAAGGTCCTGACCATCAACCACCCTCTCCAGACGCACTGCATCACTCAGCCATTCAACATTCACAAACAGTCAAGTGCTTCCGAAATCTCAATTCCGACAGCTCTTAAGATTACACTTCTTTATGTCCCTGACAAAAGGCTGCAGAAACGCCACGCAGTTTGGATACACTCCCAGGAGAAGTCTCCTCCAGCATTTAAAAGATACATATCACTATCAGCAGTCACAACAATTTTTCTGACCTCTACTGGAGACTGAGAATTGGACAGTGCCTGGCAAGCCAGTGCTCTGCACTCATCCTCCCTGCTGGCAGAGGACAGGAGAAGGGGCTCAGCTTGGTGGTGACAAAGCCACCCTGCCCACCAGGGGAGAAGGAGGCTTCACCAACCATCCCCTGCAGTAAGTGTGGGCTTGATCAAGGGCTCTCTGGGACAATGGTAGGGTGCTAACCCAGCTCCTCCACAAACCCAGTCCCAACTCTCACACTTTTAACCCTGTTGGCACACACAGAGCTCTCTGCACCACCAGGACATTACAGCTGACTGCTCCACGAACCAGACATGACCAGGTGCCCGAGACTTGGCTGACAAGTTATCTGTTTGTAAAAGGACATTTTCAATTTGCAGCACACTAATTTCAAGTCTGTCTCACAGCCAGCTTTCCCTTTTGCCTCCAAAGCAAGGCTGTGCAGTATCATAAATTCATTCCAGGCCACAAGCAGATGTCTCAAACTCCTGTACATTATCTTAGGAAAGCATAGGGCCCAATTTCTTTAAAAGACAAGGGAGCAATTGAGTCACTTCACATATTTTGGCAGTCACATACAAGGCAATGGCTATGTCCAGGAGGAAATAACATCACAAACTGGCAAGGAATGGCTAGGTCTACCCATTCAGCAAGACTGGGTCCATACTAAAACATACTGCTTTGAAGACAAAATCGGAAAGCATTCACCTCAAGTATTACTTCTGTATTAACACATGGACATGAAAGTTGGAAGCCCATGAAACCACAGACAAAACCCTTCCACATGCAAACGCGTTACACATGCTTCCTTAGCGTTCCTCTGACAAACGCAGAGGTGGCTCGACTCCCTCTGCTCCTCTTCTGGATAATTCTCCGCAGACACACAGGGATCTTGTGCCGCGCTAGGCGGCCGGTGGCAGCCGGGGACACTACCGGGAACCCTCGGGGACAAAGCGCAGCGGGGACACGGTGCTGGTGCTTGGGTCCCACCGCTCCTCCGCGGCACACGGTGCCAGACTGGAAACCTTCCTTTCCCTCATCACGCACTACCGAACATGGGCTGATGGTTTCTTTGGGAGTAGAGCAGCATCCCCGCAGAAACAAGGATGCCATTGCCGTGCCCTGGACCGGCGAGGGGGCCCCAGACCCGGGTAAGGGATGCACGGCCAGGCCTCCCCAGCGCTGCAGCCCGGGCAGCCCCGGGCAGTGCGGCAGGTCCGGCCGCGGCCGGGCCCGGGGGCACCAGCGGGGCAGGGCCCCCGGCCCCCCGCGATGCGGGCAGCCCAAGGTCGCCGGGCCGGGTTGCAGCGGGGGGGGCAACCCCAACATCCTCCACCTCAGGTAGCCTCAGCTCCCCTCGGGTCGGCCCCCAAAGCCTGACCCTCCAGGAGCCGCTGCCGCTCCGAACCGAGTCTCAGAACCCGCGGGAGGCCCCAGGCCGGTGACCTCGCAGCCCGCCCGGCGCCCCCTGATCCGGCCCCGCCGCCCCGGCTGCGCCCGGCTCTCCCGCCCACCACCCCGGCGCTGCCCGGTCCCGGCCCCCCGCCCCGGTGCCGCCCAGCCCCCGCGATGCGGCGGCCCCGCGCCCGCCCGCACCTGCCGCGCCACCTCGGCCGCCGCCATCGCTGCCCGCGCGCCGCACGTTCCGCCCCGGCCTGCGGGCGGCTCCGGGCGCGCCCACCGCGGCACCGCGCGGGGGGGCCCCGCCGCGCCCCCGAGCCCGCCCTGCCCGCGCTGCCCGCCCCGCCCCGCCGCGCCCCCGCCCCGCTTGGCCCCACCGGTCCCGCCGGTCCCGTCGCCGCCGCGTTCTGTGAGGTGCGGGGCCGCCGGTCCCTCCCCGTGGCAGCCCGCGATGGTGCAGCCCAGGCAGCGGGCGGGGCGGGCGGAGGTTCGGGGCGGTGGCGAGAGGGGCGAGGCGAGCGAGGAGCTCCGGCCGGCGGGGTCCCCACTCCCGGGGGCTGCCCGGCCCCTGCCCGCTCCCAGCCTGGGGAAGGGTTCTCCGCGCCGATTTCTCGGGAAGGCCTAGGGAGACCCGTACCGATGCCCTGAGGCCCCTGCGGTAGCGCGGGCCGGGCCAGGGTGCAGCCCCGAGGCTGGGCTTGGGTTCGCGGTTTGGGTCTGGACGGTCCCCCAGCCTCAGCAGATGAGTTGCTGTTTCAAGCGGAATGTCAGTGTGATCGCGCACTTGCTTGTCCCAGGTGCGCTGGACGGTCCAGGCCCGCCCGGGCACCCGGCTGATTGCGGCTGGGCCGAATTCCCTACCTGTGGCACCACTGCTCCCTTTTGGCCCCGCTTGTCCCGGCAGTGCAGCCTCAGCTCCCGGCCTATCATGAGCACAGCTGCCGCTTCGAGGGTCTAGCTGGTGCCCCTTGGGTTTCCCTTCATTTGATAGCAGCAAAGCACCAAACAAGGCTGAGAGAGGAAACTCAGTCTTTCCCCAAAGTAACTTTCCTGGGCCCTGGACTCCCGAGTTGTAATCCTGGTTTTACCGTGGTCAGAGCTCACCAGTGTGTCCAGTCCCTAATGCAGGCATGACCATGGTCCTTCATTCCCCAGGAGCAGCTCCTTATTTCCCTCCTTGTTTTCCCCAGATGCCACCCAAGTATTTTCAACTGTTCACCAGGATCTCATGGCTGTGTGGTTCAAGTTCTCTGCCTCCCTGAGCCCACAGAAGCCACCAAAACCCAGTGACAAAACCAGGCAGCTCCAGAAAGGGAGCAAGGGGACAATTACACTTTCATCACCAGTTGTTTGGGGTTTGAGATTACGCCAACTCCCCACACATGCCAGAAAAACTGGTCCAGGTGGTTGGAAAAAGGCAAAGGCCCTCAAGGGCTGACGACCAGCTCAGGGCAAGTCAGAGCAGGGCTAAAGCTTAGGGAAGACAAAAAGGGTTCAAGGGGTTGGTGTGGCTTTTAGCTGCCTGACCAGCTGCAAAAACACCTGGTGAGATTTTAGCTATGGGTGTCAGAGCAGTCATGGATAAGAAACTTCTGGAGAGAAAGAGGACTGGGAGCTTTTGGGGCAGAAGAGTTAGTCCTGATTTCTGACAGGGTACACAATACTGGTGGCTGCAGCTGCCAGCAACGCCAGGCATGGACTGTGCTACAAGGAGAATCACAGCAAGAGAGGAAGGCCAAATTCCCTGTGGGATAAAACATTGGTAGCAAGGACCCAAACAGTGTCCCAGTCTGGGTCTCTCTTACATCAGAGACCCACCAGCCACTGGGAACATGGCCTCTTGGGGCACTAACCTGGCCCTCCTGAGCACAGCATCAAGGAGAAGCATTGCATTCTTGGGGGGCTATTTCAGGGAGCCTGTAAGTCAATTGCTTCAGTAAGACAACCTTGAGGTGCTGCTGGAGTCAGAAGAAGTGTCCTGGGACCAGTGTCATGGATTTACACAAACCAGACAATGTGACAGGGCTTGCCCCTGGGACCCTGCTAAGAATGCTGGGTTCAAGTGAATGTTTCCAACGAGTCTTTTGTTAGTTCTTTGGTTACAGCTCAAGCTGATGCTTCCAGAGTTGAGCTCCTACCCCAATTCACACCTCTCAGTTACCCCTGACACTCATCACCCAATCCAAGTCAAACACTAAATTCTGCCTGGATTTCACTGGATTTCTTGCTGAGTTTCACTGGAGCTGGGCTGGCTGCCTCCTGATGTTACTTTATTCTCCTGGGATTGTCTCCTTGGTCCTTATCATCTCCATTCTGCTCATATCTGCTGAATTCCAAGAGTGCTTTGTTAGCAGCATCATTTTATCAAAAGTTTATGTTTGGTCAGCTCTTATGGCCTAAGTCTTTGGCTACTTCAGGTGCTAATGCTGAGCCAGCAGTGCTAAACAAGAGGCAGGAGAATACCGTTCATCAATTTCTGCTGTAGCATCAGCACTGAGCTGCCCAGGACCCCCATGCCTCCATCGAGTCCTGTGGTTCTGCACGCTCCCTGTATTCCCTTACCCTCCTGTATTCCCATTCTTTCCCTGTATTCCCATACTTTCCCTATATTCCCACAAGTTCCCTGTATTCCCTCACCCTCCTGTATTCCCACACATTCCGTGTATTCCCACACATTCCCTGCATTCCCGTACGTTCCCTGTATTCCCGCACTCTCCTGTACTCCCGCACGCCCGGCCGTGCTCCCGCTATGACGCCGCAGCCGAGTGTGGCCGAGGGGCAGAGCCAGCCCGTGTTTGAGGCCGTGCCCGGCACCGGCGGCAGCCATGGACACAGCGTGACCAAAGGTCACCTGCACCGCCCCGGCAGTGCCGCCGCCATACCCTCCCGCCGTGCGGAATCGGTTCCTCCTTCGCCGAACGCCGGGAGGGGAAGCGCGGGGTGACTGCTGGGGAGCGTGAGCTGGGCTCTGCTGGGGACAGCCCTCCGAGAGGCACCGCCATGGCCCGGCAGGAACGGGACAAGAGCCTGGCAGAGCAGAAGGTAACTGGCATCCCCCGGGGGTTCTCCTTCCTGGATACCGACCAGCTCCGAGCTGGCGGCCTGGCCCGCAGCTCCCATGTCTGGGCAGCCACCCTAGGGAGCAGGGACCGTTTCCATACGCTGCAGAAGATGGACACCAACAGAAGCATCGACTGGGGCAGGCACAGTCTGGGGAGCTGGGGTAGGACTTCAGGCAGGTTCTCCGTTAGCCCCAGCAGTACCCGGAGGAAGGAGCTGAAGGAGATTCTCCTGCAGAGCAACAGCCCTGGCAGCACCATGCGGCTTGCCACTGCTCAGAAGACATCCAGCAGCAGCAGTCTTCCTGCAGGGCTGCACCAAGAGCAGAAGCCTGAGCAGAGCCCTGACCTGCTGCCCCTTGTCCTTGATCCCCTGGAGCACGCATGGCTGCTGACGGTGGCCGAGGGTGATGCCGACAGCATCATCAAGCTGCTGGACCTGGATCCCAGCCTGCTGACCAGGAGGGACTTTGTGACAGGCTTCACTGCTCTCCACTGGCTTGCCAAGCATGGCCACCATGAGAGCTTCATCCAGGTCATCTCCCATGCCCAGAAGAAAGGCTACCCTGTCAACATGAACATTCCCACAGCCAGCGGTGGCCTCACCCCTTTGCACCTAGCTGCCTTGCAGGGACACGAGGTGCTCATCAAGGTGCTGGTGGGAGCTTATGGGGCAGACACCAGCTGCAGGGACCACAACGGGCGCAAGGCTTGGCAGTACCTGCCAGCAGACACCTCCAGGGACCTGAAGGAGCTGGCAGGGGCCTTGGAGGAGGACTTGGTCCAGCTGCAGTCTCACAACACCAACAACAACTGTAAGTCATCCAGAGAGGCTGGGGCAGGGCAAGACTCTGTGGACTCTGGGGCCGAGGGAAAAGCCCAGCACTCCTGGAGCCTCCGAGGCTTTGTTAGACAGGCATTTGCTTTCTTCCATGGGCGCTGAAGCTCTCCTGGTTCCATTCACTGGTAAACCCATGCTAGATAGCAGCCAGAAAAGCCTGCAGGGAGCTGGGAACTTGAGTGCTCAACATCCTGGCCAAGTGAGGGTTAAGCCATGGCACCAGGGGCCACCCTGGGTCTCATGGTCTTTTGGGGCTGTTCTGGTGTGTGTGTGGAGCACCATGGCCATTGGGAGCAGTACCTTGGGACGGCCCTTCCAAAAAATTGCCTGTCTGCAAAGGGGGTTTTGCCCCGTGCCCTTGTGGATGGGGACTCCTTGCTGCATCCCAGCAGATCCCTATGGTTGGGGCTCAAATGTCAGCTCTGCTGTGGGGAGCTGCTCCAACACCCTGTGTGCCCACAGGAGGATGCTGACCCACCATATGTGGATCCCATGCTGCAAATGCTTTCCAGCTCCCTGTGAGATCCCCTGATCTCTGCCATATGCACCTTCTCTGGATGATACTTGTTTATGACAGCTAGTTACAAAGCTGATTCTCAGTAGAGTAAGAGTGAATGGCCCTGTTTGTGAGAAGAGTCCAAAGCAAGAGAAGACTTTCAAAGTGCAAAACAACTCACATTGGCAGCCCTTCCCTTGAGATCCCCATCCCAGGAAGCCTGAAATGCTCAACCTCATTAGAAATGGGGGCCAGAACAAAGGCAGCAGGAAGGACACAAGGGGAGCAGCATTTGGTGGCTTCTGTGGGGATTAGAGTTCAGGAACAGCTCTAGATGATTCATTCTCAGAAACTGGAGAAGGTATGTGAAGGCTGGGGATTGAGATTATTTTTATTGCTACTGAGATCATGCTCAAAAATGAAACTGATGTACATTGCTGCAGCAGCATAACAGCACATGTATGTCTTGGTCACTGCATTAAAAGAGCAAAGCCTCTGCTCGCCTGTTTGTGTTTTGTTCACCAAGTGGAGCTCTGCCCTGATGATTTCATCTTGCTTTTTACATTCTCAAAGGACTGCTTCAAAATATCTTCAGAAAAACAACAGCCCCTTCCTCTTTCTCATCAGCATGAGACTATTGCTATGCTCTTAAATAGCAGTAGTGTTCAAGAAGTGCTTCTCAGACAGGAACTGGGGAGTTTCTGTTCCCCAGGGCAGTCTTTGCAGGGACAACTCCTTCAGGAGGGTTGTGGTTTCTTTCCAGCTGCCTTTCAGCGGGCCTGCAGGGGTGACCAAGGGACTCAAAGTGATCTGGCCTGGCTACACAGGTGCATTTGGATCTTGATGCAGAAAGATACACAAAGACACACAGGCAACTTTCTCTGGAGAACTAGAGCTGGGAGGGTTTCACAGATCCTGAGCAAACTCGTTATATTCAGACTCTGTTTTGAAATGATGCTTGGACACCAAAATAACCCAGTCTGCAGTAATGACATGTGGAAGAACAGCATCCACATGAGTGAACGGGAATCCAGTGACTGGATAATGCCCAGTCCAGGTGCCTGGGTAGACATATAGATGTGTCTGGACATCTTTTTAATCCCTGAGGTCAGCAGCAGATATATACAAAACACACTAGAACTAGATTTAAGGCCTGATCTACAAGAGTCTTGTAATGCTTTGCTTTAATAAATTGAAGATGGTGGCAATGCAGGTCCTTCTGGAACTGCTGTGGCCACATCCATGCCATGGGACAGCAGGTTGGCTTCTCACAAGCCTGCTCACACCAGCATTAACTCCATGAACAGCACTGGTGTCAAGTTCTGGTAACCTAAGTGTTGTTGAGAAGATAGACAGGACTGACAAAATATCTTTTTACCTATTAGTCTTCTGTCACCCTTTTGCAGCTGTCAGGGAAGGGGCACAGGATGGCTCTTACATCCTCTTCTGAGTAAGGCACAGAGTAAACAGTGAAATTAATAAGAATTTCCTTGAAGGAGCCATTTCCTTGGCAATGGTACCTGTGGTTCAGGCATGCTCCACCCAGAAACATGGACTGAAACGTTCCCTTTCAAAGTAAAATTTCGCTGACAAATGCTGCACCTAAATACAACAAAATGATTTTCAGTAATTGCCTCCCCTTGAGAGATAACCAAAACCCTCTGAAGACAGCTTCTCCCCTCCCCCTTTTTTTGGTCATAGGTTTGACCCTGTGTTCTATACTGAGACAAATTAGGCAGGGACTTCAGAAAGAGCAGGACCAGAACTCTGCTTCTCTAGACGTATTACAACATCTGCCATACCATACCAGCCCCTGCCCTGGCTGGGTCCCTTTCCACTGAGGAAAAAAAAAAAACAACTTTCTTCTAATGACCCACCACTTTGTCTCACTCGATTCAGTTTCATTTAAAAAATATATTCCTCAAATATACAATCAGCTTTAACTTTGCTTTTCATTCAGAAAACAAAACATCAAAATCAATTGACTAGAATATCCAAGTATTTTTTCTTTAAAGCTTCTGTTGATGTCTCAGGTGTCATGTGTTAGCTCAGTTCTGCAGAGGTTCCTGATCTCCCCTCACAGGGAGGAGAAGGCAAAGAGAGTTGCCACAGACAACAGAAAACAATCAAACTCAGAGATATTTGTTTGTTTAAGGTTCTGCAGAAGACTGAGTTTAACCCAAGTTTAATTTGTACTAAATTTACTTTGTGTTATCCCTTAATGTCCGGTTTGAAAAGCAGATTCAATCAAGCACAGAAAATAGTACATGGGGTTATTTTCCAAAACAGTTCCTTAGTAGAAGTTACTTCCATCTAATAAAAATATTAGTCATGATAGTAATAGGGAGACTTTCTAATAAATAGTAATAAATTGTTCAATCTATTGCTCAGGAATGTTTTCCCACAAATGCCACAGAAAAAACTGTCTCTTTCCATTAAATTACTGTTTTCCTCCTCAGCCAGATCCCTATAGACAATTACAGGGAAAACTCTATGAGCAGCTTTGCCTGCCAGCAGTGATGAGGAGAAACTGGAGGAGGTTCTCTGAACTCCAATCCTCAGCAGTGCTGTTATTTCCTGAACACTCCCTTCAAAGAGTGCAGAAGAGATTTAAAAATCATGGGTCAAAGTGGCTGCAGCACACGAGCCTCTGTTGAAACATCTCTGGCAATGTTTTTGCTGCTTTCCTGTTGCAGAGACTTACTGCTTCCCCCGAAGGTGAATGCGAGTGCAGACTCTTACCAGACAGGATAAGAAGCTAGAGGATACCTCTGAAGTATCCTGAAGTTGGTAAAAATCCCAGCCTTGCTTGCCCTGCAGCCTACCTTAGGGAGACCTCATGACCTCTGATTATTTCTTAGTATTCATCTGTTTGGCACATGCCAAATAACAGCGTTATTTGCTCTGAGTTGCAATACGAAGGAGATAAATCTATTTACCTTCAATGTGGAAAGCAGCAGCACAGAAGGTATGGCAGCCTAAAGCTTCCTCAGGAAGCTGCCTCTCAGGAACAGACTCATGACCTGAGGCTGAACCAGCACCTTGGCAGCCCTGAGTGAGGATGGGCTTTTCTGCAGCCAAGAACAGGCTCACACCAACAGAGATTTCCTGCTGACCAGAGCAGCTTCCCCAGCTCAGTGCTGCAAACGGAAAGGACTGAGTGCAGAGCCACAGCCTCCTCCACTTCCCCACAGTAAATTGGTTTCACACGCCCCAGCAGAGAATACCAGCATGGGGGAGCTGGAGTGACAACTACCCAGAGACCTTTAATCTCCTTTTTCCTCTCCCTTCTTTAAAATAGCTGCAAACTCTCCCTCTGAGCCCCATCTTAAATTTCTACCTGTCTGCTGAGAATGTTTTATACTAAGCTGCACCTGTGGTTGGTGTTGACTTATCAAACCAACACGGACTGCCAAACAAAACTCCTGCTAATATTCTAGGGAGTACACGGACATTATGTGCTATACTTTACAGTACTGCATTTCATAAGAGATATTTTCAGATCTGATTTTGACTTTTTTTTTTAATTGGTACTTTGCTCCTGAAGATGAAGACACAGCCTACTCTACCTGAAAAGAACTGCCAAGGTTCCTCACATTAAGTAAGGATATAACTAACATTACCACGAATTTTATTGTTACAATCCCACAACGTATATATGAAATAATTTTCAAAACAAAAGTCATTCAGGTCCATATTTATTAGTAAGCCTGTGCACTGTCAATGCTCATGGTGATGCCTGAAAGAACACTAATAGAACACAGTCTCCATGTTTCAGATACAAAGATTTTCCCAGTTAACATCCCAGACCAGCTTATAAAAACCCCACACTGGGGACTGCAGTCCAGCACCAGAGAAGGAATGACTTGAAGGTGTTATCGATCTGACACAGAAAGACCAGTGTTCATTAGAGCTCCCGGGACAGTCTCTCTTACAAGCCCAGTTTGGTCCTCCTCCAGTGTCTCCTTTTGGAGTTGTACCTAAGACAAAAGCAGAGTGAATTTGTTAAACATGAAAGCAGAACGTCACAAGGAGAAAGTCTCTTCCATGAAAGCACATTAATTTATGAGCATATACTTGTCCACGTTAAGAACAAATGCTTTCACCATGGTGTGGGTGAAACCACAGACAGTGTTAACAGAGTTGCTCTCAGCAGGAAAATGGCAGCACTTCCACAGCAGGAAGCGCTGCAATTGCAGCCTGCTTGAACACAAAGCCTGGACAGAACCCATGGCCCAGCTACTCAAGTGCCAGGAGACAAAAGTACGAGATTTTGCCCTATGGTCAAGTATTTCAAAGTAGTGCAATTTAGCTAAAATAGAACCCAGTTCTGTTTTTCGGTAAGCTGGCATGTGGAAGACAAGGATCCAGCTGAGTGCACACACCACTGATCCTGCCTAGAAACGAGCTGGGAGCAGCTACAAGAACAGAACCTTGCAATGTTGTCCTAGGTCACTGCCTGAGCCAGCCAGTGCTGCTGCTGCTCTCCTCACTGCTTCGGACAAAGAGAGAAAGAGAAGAGGGAGTTCTGTTGCCTTAAAAAGCCCAGATGACGGAGTGTATGAGATTAAAAAAAACTATGCTGCAGTTTTCAAAGGGTGGGCTTGGAGAGGCACCACGCCCCACGTGCACCCAGCGTGTCACAGCACCCAGCATTTCCCTAAGCACAATGCTCCAGAACAAACACATCAGTAAAGCAAGGAACAATGGCAAATCAATTCTACAGTCGAGTGCCAAGCATCTCATACTATCAATCTGATTTCTCATACATCCAACAAGTCCTTTGCTCCCTTACACATCTCCTGAACCTCAGAGCACCCATGCTTAGGAACTGTTCCTTGAAAATGCAGGACCTCAAAGAGGTAGCTATGAAAGAGGACAGGTATTGGGAAGGGGAACGTCAGGAACAGAGAAACTATCAGGGAACAAAATCTGGAATAAATAATCCGCACGTACAGTTCAAGTTTTCACTTTACATGCACCATCACTAAATGTCTGTGGACATTAGCAGAGCAAAAACATTACGAAAAAACCGGCATGGAAGCCCCACACTGCCTCAAGAGGCCTCACCTGCCCTACCATCCCTGCATGGCCCTCACGGCCACAGAACTGCGCTTTTGCTGCATAAACGCCATCGGCTCCTGCCTTCAGCCCGTACCGCCCAGGGCGCCTGACTAAGCTTGCGCGGCCGCAGCTCGTCAGAGAGCACCGGCCGAGTTCGTTACCTGATCTTATTGCCAGTTTTCATGCGAATCCACTGCGGGATGGGCCGGTTCTGCTTCTGCTTCTTGGCGAGGAAGCGTTTGATCTTGAACGTCTTGTGCGACGACTGAAAGAGAGCGCAGCGGTCAGTCCCTCACCCAGCCCCGGGCCCGCCAGGCCTCGGGGAGCCGGGAATGCCGCACCCGGCCCCCTCCCGCTCCCCCGCGGCCGCTCCTCCCCGCCGCCCGCCCGCCGGGACCCCTGAGCGCGGCGGCCTCGAGAAGAGGGCTCGGGGCGCGGCGGGAGGGCGCGGATGGCCGCGGATGTCTCACCATAGCGCGGAGCGGCGCGGCGTCCCGGCGATGGCGGCGTCCGAGGAGGCGGAAAGGGGGCGGGGCAGCGATGGCGGGGCGGGCGCGAGCGCCCCCTGCCGGCCCGGCGGTCCCGCACGCAGTGAGGGGCGGCGGCGGCCGAGCGAGTTTGTGCGAGTTTATTTGGGTTTAATACAAAAAACAGCTATGGCTAAAATTCGCTAGCTTGGGAGGAGCTGCTACTGGCGAAGTCTCGTTCTGGGCTGTAAAACAATACTTCAAGTTATGAGGGAAGAGAAAGCAGTTCCGAGAGGGCACGATTTCAGAAGCATTTCAGACTTGAGAGAAGGAAGATGCTGGAAAAGAACAGGATGCCCAAACCAGCTACATTTGATTAAAAATAAGCATTTCAGTGTACGGAGACTTTACACGAGAATTTATCAAGACATATTCAACTATTAAGCCAGCTTATTCATACACTCCAACTTAAGTTACTTTATCCAGAGAACCACTGAAGAGGACGGTCTCTCCCTCCCTAACATGGTTACTGCACTGCCAGATATTCTGCTCCTTATGTGCCAAAAGGCTGCTATCCACTGATACCTCAACCCCAGCCTGTGTACGTGTCTCAGTGCTATACTGACACACTTCAGCTTTCACTGCCTCACATAGGAGCACCACACAACACAGCAACACCTGTGTTAACTCCAGGCAACTCCAAGCTTGCTCTGCTTAAGTGCATCCAACACTGGCTCCAATTGCCTTAGAGTAGATCTCTGGTTTTTGATCCAGATGTCATCCCCTCCTGACCAAAACTCATTTATTATCAAACTTAAGGCCATAAAGTCTTTCTATTTCGCAAAGATTCTCTTCTCTGTTGTAGCTAGATGCTGGGAAAATAAGTTCAAATAACTGAAAATATTACAATGAGAACACATTTCAAATTCTGAATCTACAACTGAGGTTCTTTAACCAGAAACATCCAACATCATAATGCCCCCTTTTCTTCCTTTGTTCCTTTTTCGCTCCGAAGGCACTTCTGGATTGCGTAGTACATGCTCTTTGGCTGCACAGACAGTCAGGACACATAAGGCTGGCACATCAGTCACTCCTCTTCCTTCGTGTGACTGGTCTCACCCTCTTGTTTCTTATCCACTCCCTGATCTGGAGGCTTTGCAGCACTGTCTTCATATTGACACAATCTGCTCCGGCTTCGGGCTCCAGGCTGGTACAGCTGCATTGCTGGGCGATCCTGAAATAAATCAAAACTATTTAGACTCTTTCACAGCTCCCTGCTCTCAGGGCTATTATGGCATCATTTCTATGGTATTAGAAATGGCTCAAATTCAAACTTTTCAGGCTAAGTTTAATGATTCCACAGTGGTGGCAAAGTAACTACAATCGTCCCAAATCAAGGTTGTCTCTGTTGTAAAGCAACATCCCTGTTCAAGCCACAAAGAACAGTGCTTATAGCTGTGGTTATTTGTAACGTGTTTCCTGTTGAGTTCAGCTCACACTCTCTGAGAAGAGAGGCCAACATCAAAGTTTCAAAACCCTGACAATGTCTTAACTGATACAGAAAACAAGCACAGATGCTGCAGAAACAGATTTTGTACAGTACATAAAACTACACTCAAGATATTATTTCTTGAGCCTAGAGGACATGTCATATTCTGTGAGTTGCAGTTTCCTATTTTAAGTAACCTGTTCAATCACACTCTCATTTTGAGATGCATTTTCAGGCATCTATAAGATCAGCAGACACAAATTACTGATACTCTACCAACACCTTAAAGAGATAGCCTATGGCACAAGTCAGCAAATAAAGAAGAATCAGTGTCTTAAAATTTAACCCATGTTTTCTTGGATCAGTGACAAGAAATACCACTCTTAAGCAAGTTTTAGGAGGCATTTCTAGCAATGGCAGTTTGTTGCAGAACAGGGAGAAGTTTCAACAGAGAAACCACATGGTTCTTTCCTTGAAGTGCTTTTATCCTAAAAACCACAGATGTCTATGAATGAAGACATGAATTTAAAGAAATCCAGCACCTTGTTTCTGATACGATCCCTCTTAATTGTATCCTCTTTTTTATCATCTTTGGTTACTTTCTCAGATTTGTCCATGCTGCTGGTAAAGTCTGTAAGATCACTTTTTTTTCCCTTTTCTCTGAGTAAGTCTCTCTCCTTTTTCACCTCCTCTTCTTTTCTTCTAAAAACCTTCTCTTTCTCATAGCGCTCTTTCTGCCTCCGACGCTCCTCTTCTTGGCGTCTCAGTTTCTCTCTCTGTGCTCTCTCATATTCTCTGTCTCTGTCAAAATCTCTATCTCGGTCCCTGTAGTCCTTTACACACTCATCTTCTGATCTGCATGAAAACAAAACTGAAAATTAAGCTCAAAAGATTCATCAAACAGAGCTGGGAGATCAATGTAATAGTGGTGTAAATGTGCAATAGGAAGATGACACACTGGCAGGTACTAGGGAGCTCTTGGGAAGCTGTGATAGCCCAAGTCATGCATGACAGCCAGAGAGGACACTGACCACTAGAGTTTCCCAGCCTCCTACTTGCATAGCTGGCTGAGTCTATTCTGGCTTTGAAAAAACATCTGAATTTGTCTGCCTTATCTGTATTTCTCACATGGCAGAACTGAACCTCAAATAGATCACGGAGGTGTTGAGAATTACATTTTCCACTTTGACTTTTTACAAGACTTAGAGAGACTGGTAACTGGAGAACATCTCTCCTCTTGCCATGGTTATAATAATTATCTCATTGCAAAGACAGTGCTCAGAGCCTGCTGCAGTCACCTATATACGGGCTTCCTTAGTGGAGTTTCTATGAGTTGCAAAAATATTAAAATCTGTCCACTAATGAAGAATTTCCAGGTAATTCACAGAGCTTTCTGTAATCATGGGGATGTGCACTGGCATAGAGAACACAGCCCATGCCTTATATGAGAAAAAGCATTTGAAAGGAATTTCAAAATATGGTCATGGCAGAACAGCCTAAGCCTCAATACAATCAGGAAACAAGTTATAGATACATGTATATTTATAGCAAGTACTAGAATACTTTTTTGCCTTCTCTTCTTTTGTCTCCCCATCAGATCGTTTGGCAGATGCACTACTCGCATTTTTTTCCTCCCTCAGAGTCTCTTTTTCCAGTTTCTTGGATTTTTCTTTTCTCTCCAAGTCTCTTTCATCTTTCTCAGGCTTCTTAAGTAGCTACAAAGAAAACAGAAGTCTCAACTAAAAAGCTCACTCTAGTACATATTGTCTGGCACAACACCGAAATTGCATCAAAGGAACCACAGTCCAGTAAGAAGTAAACATTAAAGAAATATTACTGCAAATCACAATATTTTTAAAAGCTGGAGTGTATGAGTAAGCATTATTCACACAGCAGACTAGAATTTTTCTCCTAAACCAGGCTGTTTTAGAAAGCTTAAAAATAGTCTCCATTTCACAGCGAATTCACAATCCTGTTAACCACAGCATGTACAACAGTCACGTGACAAAAAACTTTAAATATTACTATGCAACATTACAGTATGTAAACCTTTACAATGCCTACTACTGAATATTACAAAAAAATTGGTCATTTACTAACACCAAACTCATGTGATTCTTCAAACAATACCCAAAGTACATTTTGAGACTGATATACAAATAATAGGGGAAAGGGAGTGTAACAGTTTATAATAAAGAACTGTTCTAGACCTTAATCTTTGGTTCTTCTTTTGATCTGTCTCTGTCTTTTTCTGGGCATCTGTCTACTTTCTTCAGTTTTTCTGCTTCTTTTCTCTTCCTTCTCTCCTCTTCTTTCCATTTTCTTCTTTCTTCTTCTCTTTGTCTTTTTCTTTCTAATTCTCTCCTCCTTCTCTCCTCTCTTTTTTCTTCTCTCAGTCTCTGTGTATGTAAAAGCAAAGAGAAATAAGCGTCTCCACACCAGAAAACATCTCTTTAAGTCATCAAACAACTCACCTCAGAGCTGCCTCCATTACAAAAGAAAAAAAAAGTCCTGTCATCTCTATTGTTATGAACCTGAACCTGTTACAGCATAAGCCTTAACTTGTACTGTCTTAAAAAACTCAAATACAACATTAGCCTCAGCCTTTATCATTCAAATTTTAATTAAATCTGTGCCAGCTCTGATTTTCTCCATTGCTAGAAGTTAAAATAATGTGCTAGGAGAAAAATCATCTACAAGGACCTCAGCTATACTGCACTAAAAATGGAAGCACTAAAATGGAATATGTTTTGTCAGTGCAAAAAGAGGTGCTTTGCTGTGACCAGAACGTACACAAAGCAACACCATTCCAACACTGTAGTCCTTTAAAATATATGAATCAGAAGTTGACAAGTTGGGTCAAAAGCTCCTTCTTCAAAAGGAAGGGCATAAATGTATAACATAAAAAGAGCAAATTGTACTTGTAAACAACAAGAAAATTCTGGAGGTCTTACCTGTTTATTTTTCAAGAAGTTCAATAAAGGAGTAGTCTTTTTAGCTGGAGAATAGATAAAATAAATGTAAATATTTTGCCTTATCCAAAACTGCAATACCTACAACAAAGCTCTATACGAAGTGAAGCAGCCTTACACGTTTCCCTTCCTGTCTCCTCTCACATACGGCAGTGAAACAAATATTCCAAACCTATCTCCAAACAGTGGCAACTATTAGGATTCTATAAACTTCTTTAGGATATTAATAGGATATCCATTACACCTATCTCTACATTCAGTCTGCATTAGGCTTCTCCCAGACACTCATTTTTAAAGAGATCCCTGTAAGATACTTAAAAAGAGCAACCAGGTCATTTTTTGGTGTTATTTTACCCAACCAGACTATCTCTTAACTTGTGCCTGCATGGAACATAATAATCGCAGCACTGTGCTTTAAACACCACTGCATCTCACTGACATGCAGCCACTCCACAGCCTGGTCTGGCTAACAAACATCTGCACCAGGAAGGAACTTTGTAATCTAAAACTTATACCTACAGAAGAATTTAGAGCATAGGAACAAAACAAAACACACTGAATGATATTAGCCTGAATGTTTAACAAATATTAAGCAGGCACACAAAAGAATTTGGTCTCCTCTGGGTTGAGCTTCAAATTACAAAACATCTTTGTTTCTTTGTGATCTAGGAAAATGTAACTATAGTACACAGATTTCCATACCTATTAGCTCTTTGTTTCTTGCCTCTATTTCCTCCAACAAAGTTTCAGGAGTAGAGGTTAATTTTTCATCATCTGCACTGTAACTTTCCAAAAACTTCTTGTATTCTGGATCTACACAAAAGAGAAGGTGGGGAAAAAGGGGGGGGGAGGGGGAAACAAGAGATACTATAGCATGAAAAGTATTTGCATTGTGCACTGCTCAGTTACATTTACTTAAGTTGGGTTGTTTATATGTCACCATTTCATAAGTTAACAGCTCTCCAATTAGCTGCTGAATTAGGTTTGTCTGGGACAATCATATTTAACAGATTTCTAGCTGACAAAGCAGTGCTCATAAACTTCACATATAATTCAGCAAACATCCTATTGGTGGAACTATAGTGTCACAGTAAAAACATTACATTCAAATTACTGCTAAGAGTTTCAAGTCTACACATGCAAAACAAACTAGCTCGCTGTTATACCATCTTCAATAGTTCCAGTTTTGGCATCCTTTTTCTTACTCTTCTTTTTGGCAGCTTTTTGGAAAGGTGCAAACTCAACTATGGCAGCATATTCCTGACCTGTTGAGAGAAAAAAAATACATTAAAGATGAAACTAACAGAAAATAGATTATATCGTCCAAATGTAAAGCAGGAAGGTAAGTCTCACAAGAAATATGCAACACTAGAAGAGACTATATAGTATGACTACTTAGAGCATAAAAAAATTACTGTATTTGGAAACCCATTTAATAAAAAAAACCCCACTGTACAGACAGAAGAATTCATGACCTTAACACTCTCATTATGTGAGTGACATTAACACTAACAAACCAGCAAATTCACAGACTGACAAGAAGGACGCACTAGATTTAAGACTGCCCATGAACTGTCAGTTAGGCCACCTCAGTAGCACCATACCACACAATGGCCTCATCCTACAGACTCTGAGTTCATTGTACAAGAAAGAATATCTTAAGTTAATGCAACTGAGGCAAACGTAAATTTTTGACAAAATATAGTAGAATGCAACACATTACAAGCAGGCTTTAAAGCTTTATCTTCTGGCAAGAACACCAAATTTATGGCTGCACAAATCCAGCTGGCAAACACAGTGTGCTGTTACACTGCAAACCAGCTCCTTTAAAGGACTTAGATGTTATTAGAACTGTATATGTATGTATTTCTAGATGTATTGGAACTGTTATTTGAAGCACTAAACCCAAACAAGTCAGACGTGGCTGCTCACACCCACCCCTCCAAAACTCAACCAGCACACGGCACAGACAGCACGGTAGCAGCAACATCCATGGAGTACCGTTCACTTGCCTTTGTGATCGACAAAAACGTAGCCGTCGAAGCGATCCCTGAAGAGGACTATGTCTTCCTGGTTCTTGAAGTTGATGTAGGCTCTCGAGAACATGTGCGGGTACAAGCTGCAGAGACACAAACCGAGAGCGCTGGGCTGACGAGGCGGCGGCGCCACTGGGGGCCAGCTGGCGAGAGCGGCGGCTCCCGGGAGCGCCCAGACTGGGCAGGCGGCCGTACCTGGAGTCGTTCGCGAAGAATTCGAAGTAGTCGTGCTCGGGCAGAGGCTGCAAATGCTCCTCCAGCTGTTCCTTCGTCAGGCTGGGCGGCAGCCGGCGGATCACCACCTGCGGCACGGCAGGACCGGAGCTCAGGGCGGCGGCAGCACCGGGGATGAGTCATTACCGCGCCTCCCCCGACACGTCCCGTCCCAGAAGGCCCCCGCAAACAGCTCCCGTAAGCGGGGAAAGGTCCCGTTACAGAGGGGGGACCCTGTTACCGGCGGGAGGAGGGGCCCGTTACAGACGGTGAGCCCCGTTACCGGGGAGGGCGCCGTTCCCGGCAGCGCGCAGGCCCCACCTTGCTGAGCGTCTCCTTCTTGTCCTTGGGCCGCTCCAGGCGATCGAGTTCGGCAGCGCCGGCTCTAACGTCCGTGCCGGCGGCAGAGCCCGTGCCTGGCCCCGCGGCCAGCAGGACACCCAGTCCGGAGGAGGCCCCGCGCCGCTCCTTAGGCCTGGCGTTCTCCTTGTCCTCCTTCATCCTGATCCCGATCCTGACTCCGGGCCCGGGCAGCACCGCGCGCACCCAATGACCGCCGCCTCTCGCGAGACTGTCCCTTAAAGGTGCCGCTGCCTCCGCCGGACTACCACTCCCAGCGTACACCGCGCCAGCCACCTCTGATCCCGGTGGGGTCAGCGATCGGGACCGAGAGCGGTATTGGGCGAACTGAGACGCGGGCACGGCATCATTTCTTGCCAAGGAACTGTTCTCCGGCAGCGTTTTCGCTCCCGCTGCCCGCTCGAACCCGCTCGGCTGTGAGGGGGCGCGGGGCAGGCCGGGAAGGGCGCGGGGCAGGCCGGGAGTGCCCCGGCACCGGGCGCAGGGGCAGCGGCACCGATACCAGCAGCGGCACCGATACCAGCACCGGCAGGATGTGGTACGAGATCCTGCCCGGCATGGCCATCATGGGCGCCTGCCTCAGCGTTCCCGGCATCGCCACCATCTTCATGCACCGCTGGTGCCACGGCGGCAAGGTCAGCGACGGGCAGGGAGGAGGGGATAGGTCCCGGGATCCGGGACCCTGAGGCTCCGCTTTCCCACCGGAGCCGCCTTTTTCCCCCCAGTCCCCTGCATCCCTCTGGGATCCCTTCCCTCCCGGGGACCCCTTTACCTTATGCCCCGCCTTCCCTCGGGAGCCCCTGGCCGAGGCCTTAACAGGCAGTTCTGTGCCTGCAGGAGAAGAGGATCGCCCACTATCCCTACGAGTGGACCCTGATGGAAAGGGACCGGCGGCTGTCGGGCACCAACAAGCACTACGTGCCCAAGGCAGGTTTTGGGGGCTCTGGGCAGGTACCACCGGGGAGAAGCGGGGCCCAGGCGCTGTTCCCCCATCCCCGAGCTCTGGGATGGCTGCTGAGGTGGGCACTGATTGCTCTTGGGGCTGTCACATCTGACTTGGTTCTTGCTGCTGGCCTGCCTCTGGTGATGTGCATTTTAATTTTGTTCTAATTAAGACCGGGGTAATTAAATACAGTTTGAAAATCTGCATTTTCAGATATGCCCTGCTGCACATTAGTGGCAAGAATGACACAAAGCTGTTATTTTTTTCTTTTTCAGGGTCTGGAGAGCATAAACTAAGGTGTCGTCAATGCTTTGAAAAATTCATACATTGAAAATATATCTATAGAAAATGATTCCACTCTTAAATAAAGCTATACATGTATTCAGCCCTTGTATTTCTGTTACTGTGGTGGGGTGACCCTTGCTGGACACCAGGCACCCACAAAAACCACTCTGTCGTTCCCATCCTCAGCTGGACAGGGGAGAGAAAATAAATTGAAATGCTTGTGAGTTGAGACAAGGAGAGAGTGAGACTATTCATCAGTTACTGTAACAGGCAAATGAGTATCGACTTGGAGAAATTAATTTAATGTATTGACAGATAAGAGCAGGGTAATGAGAAGTTAAATCATAAAACACCTTCCCCCCACTCCTTCCTTCTGGGTTCAGCTTCACTCATGATATTTTCTTCCACCTCCCTTCTGAGCTGCACAGGGTGATGGGGAATGGGAGTTGTGGTAAATGTCATCCCATGTCTCTGTTTTCCTTCCTCCTCAAGGGAGGACTCCTCACACTCTTCCCCTGCTCCGGCATGGGGTCCCACCCATGGGAGACTCCTTCACTAACTTCTCCAGTGTGAGTGCTTCCCATGGGCTGTAATTCTTTATGAACTGCTCCACCATGGGTCCTATGCATAAGGTGCAATCATTCAGGAACCAACTACTCCAGCAGGGTCACAATTCCTGCCAGCAAACCCGCTCCAGTGTGGGCTTCTCTCTCCGTGGGCACAAAGGTTCTGCCAGAGCCTGCTCCAGCATGAGCTTCCCATGGGGTCACAGCCTGGGTACATCCACCTGCTCCAGCACGGCTTCGTTCCTGGGGTGCAGGTGGATCTCTGCTCCATCAGGGACCTGCAGGGGCACAGCTGCCTCACCATGGTCTTGCAACACGGGCTGCAGGGCAATCTCTGCTGCAGCACGTGGAGCACCTCCTACACCCTGTCCCAAGGCCTCCTGTGATCCTGGAAGAGCAGCTGCTGGGTATTCAGTACCCTGTCATTTGCTAAAACCTTTCTGGCTCCTCTCGTATAATACCCGTGATCCTTTCCCTCTGAAGGTCTGTGTGTTGCAAGCGCCGCTGTTCAGAGCCTGCAGGAAGCTCATTGCAGCGGGCTGGACAGAGTCTGCCTGGCAGAGCACAGGCTGGAGGCTGCTTTAGCTCCCGACTGGCAGAACTATGACAAGCAGGGAAGCTGCCTGGATGCCACAGCTGTTTTCTGGTTCGTACGGGGAGGCGTTTCCGCGGGGCAGGGCAGGGAACGCCGCGGGGCTGCCGGGAGCGGCCTGGCCTCGCCATGGTGACCGCACGCCGCTCGTGCCCGCGGGGCCCCGCACAGCGGCTGGGACAGAACCGAGCCCGGGCACAGCTCCCCGGGGTCGGACACCGCCCCCGCCACCGGAGTGCCCCGGGACAGCGGGGGAGAAGCAACCGCCGCCCCGGGAGCGGCAAGCGGGGTGAGCAGGGCCGGGGTAAGAGGCAGAGGCAGTAAGAACCGCCGGTGCTCCCCGTGCTCCTCAGACAGGCCTGCAGCTCTCAGACCACTGCTCTCTGTTTGTGCGTTTATCTCTCTAAAGGTGAAGCCAATGGACAAGGAAGAGGAAAAAACTGCCAGTGAGCAAAAAGATCACGTTCCCCCCGAAAATGAGAGAAGCAGTACAGAGGAATGTCTTCCAGAGGCCAAGGAAACAGAGAAAGGTATTGTGTTTGCTCTACTAGAATGATGAGGTCTTTTCAGGAGGATTTGTAAACATTTTATCTGTTTTAGAAACCAAGCATGTTATCAAAAATATCCTGTGGACCACAGCCAAGAACTTTACAGTGGAGAGAGGACAGCAGCAAATTGAAGAACTAATTTCTGTGAGTCACAATTCCATCCACTCAGGAAGGCCAAACCTTCTCCCTGTTAAGTATGAAAAATTAAAGAAGAGCATCTCTGTTCCTTTTTAGCATCACCCTCAAGTCAGCTCTACTAGGCAGAGGGAGTTTTAAGTGTTAGTGTGATGCATTTATTCAACAGACATGGGACATTCATGAAAGCTGGCTTCACCACTCAGAATTTCTCGAGGAAGAAGAACTGAAGGACAGCAAGAGGTATCATTACAGAGCTTGCTGGGGACTCCCAACACGCAGAAAACCCATCCCACGAGCAACAGCGAATGTCTACTTTGTTATAGTGATCTCCAAATTAAAACCTGATGTAAGTATTCAGAAAGGGTGTGGATAGACTAGTCCTTTAAAGGACAAGAGTACAGTGGCATTCCTGAGGCAGGGAAATGCCAGGACAGTGGAGAGACTGACGAGGAGCCAGCAGCTCTCGTGAAGATGCTGGTAAGGCCTGGACCTTGCCAGAACGATGGCAGATTTAGATGTGGCCTAATAGAAACACGCCATCAGTTGGCAAGGGGAGCAAGGCACAGAGCAGGAGGCTGGGTTAGTTCCCAAATCATTGACTGACAGAACTTGACAAACAGAATCTGGCAGGATCCTACATCTGCCTTCCTGCTCTTACAATCTTCCCTTTCCAAGCAACCATTGTTCTGGGCAGCTGTAAGAAGGGCTGAGTAGAGGAGAGTTACAGAATGAGGGGTCAGTATAGAGGGGGTGACACTTTGCTCTTCAAGCTGTCTCAGAATCCCTTTCCTGTTCAGCCTGAAGTTTGCACCTGTACAATGAACTCTTCCAACTCAAAAGAAAAAAATGAAATAAACTGTACTGAGTAGACTTCTTACCTCCAGGCTTAAGTCATACTGAACCTTAGTGTTTCTACTTAATGGCTATAGATCCCCAAATAATAGTCTGTAGTTTAACCCCAGCTGGCAGCTAAGCATTGCTTAGCTTAGCTGCTTGCTCATTCCTTCCCCACCATGGGATGTGGGAGAGAATGCAAAGTGTAAAAAAAGTGTAATAATATTAAAAAATAAATATAATAATATTAACAAATTGAGGTGGAAAAAACAAACTGAGGAAAAAAACCCTATGAAAGGCAAGTGATGCAAATAAAAGCAATTACTCACCACTCACCAACCCCTGCCCAGCTAGTCCCTGAGCAGCATCTTCTCTTCTGCCCCAACCAAGTATCAAGGTTATTTTTAAAGTAAACAGTAGCTCTCACTTAATTACAATGTCTGCTTTTTAAGGGGCTGTACATGGCCTCTGCCCTGTCTCTGTTCTCTTGCAGACTGCACCTGTGGAGGTCTTCTACAGACTGGAGTCCAGCAGGCTGATTCGGAGGTAAACGTTATTACTTTTCTGTTTTAGCAAGCTTTTCCATTCCAAAACCAAATCGGGAGCTTGATGTAAATAAGTTTTCAATAATAGCAGAGAAGTGGAAGTTGCTACATGAAATGACCGTGCTTATCACTAGCTTCACCCCCAGAGGCATGAATAGCCACCCTGTGGGCATCTGCAGTCTCCAGAAATTTGTCCTGCTTTACATGGGTCTAGGTGAGGTCTTTACTGCAGCAGATAGCCTTAAGTGGTAAATAAAGGGCAGCTCTCAGCTGGCCAAACTTGGATTCAGTATTATGTTTACAATCTGCCTTCTTTTTATTCCATTCTCCAGGCCAGAACAGTGTCAGTTTAGAGAAAAGTGGCTTCAGGACATAATTGAAAATAAAATAGTGTGCGCAGAAAGACTTGCTTCCCGATGAACAGCTCCAATTCACAATTACCAATACTCTGTTGTGGAAAACCAAATAAAGACAATGAAGAAAGAAAAGCTCTTCCTTAGCCGTATTTCTACTTTGTGGATAAAAAGCATTGAACCCGTGCAAAATCAGCTATGCTCTGACATGGCAGCTGGCTATGTGTGACAGTCCCTGGCAGGTATGGGTGGGGACAGCAGGATGGAACAGGTTCCAGAGTGTAAATGGGAAGAGGCAGCTGGGCAGGATTTCCTGTTTGTGAATGCCAGGTCTGTGGAACTCCAGGGAAAATATTATAGGACTTTTATTTTCGTGATACAAATATACAAGACATCTCTGCTGCTAGACTTAGAGAAATCAAAAAAACCATTAGGGGAACAGAAGAGAAACAACCCAACTCTCAAAACCATTTTGTTTTCCAAAACATTTGAAAAAAAGTTCGAGGAGATATGTGTGGAAATACACAGTTGAATCAAAGATGACCACCACATAATCACTGCCTGATGAGCAAAGCTTCCAAGCACAGTTTAAAGCAAGCCATGTAATACTGCTGAAACAGACCAAAGTAAAATACTACAGGAGTTAAAACAAGGGTTTAATCTAGAACACTTCCATAACCAAAAACATTTCAAATGAATTGAAAGATACATCCTTGTTACCACCTGTGTACATCCAGGGGTTCCAATCACTGCACTCAATTGCACTGATGCCTATGTATAACATAGGAGAAAAAGAAGCAAGCAACTCAGTTCTTAACCATGTGTTTCAGTGGGCTGAAGATCAGACCCTCCTATTCCTGTTACTTTATACCTCAGTTGTGATCTGCTTGCTCTAAAGTAACTGAAACCCATCAGTATTAAATTACAAATCTATTTACAAAATATTTACACGTCTGGTTTGAATAACAAACCAAACTCAACTATTTTGAGGAGAAACCTAAATCTAAAAGACTTGTGAAAAAAGTGAAGAGGACAGTCCTGGATCTTAAAACAGGAACTCAGGAGTTCCTTCATTTTTGCTACTGGTGCTAGTAGCTTGTTAAAGGTCTTTGCCAAGCTAAATGATCTTATGATTAATATAAAATAAATGGAATAAAAAAAAAATCACACTTATTTACATTAGATAACAAAGCCTTCCCATGGGATCCTTTGGCTTGTCTGATTCAAAGCAAGTGCAGAACGCTGACACCTCTAACCTCCCCCAGCTGTTCCTGCTTTGTAGCTTTTCTCTTTACAAGGATTCCTTGTAGATGCTAAACAAACCATCCAAGAAAATCTTATGAAAATCACTCTGTATCCTTGACACAAGTAATCCAATAATCCACTCCTGAGGCTTGGCCCTGTTGGGTGAAAGGTGCTGCAGCACCTGCAGCTTTTTTCAAATCACAACTGGACTGGGTTAGCTGCCACGTGGTGCAAGCCATGGCGTACAGCTCAAATGAAACATTATTTTTCCTCTTTGCCTTTAGTCTTTCTGTAGACCATCTCTCGAAAGCTTGCAAGGATTTTATTCTCTCGTTTCCTCCTCTCCTCCTGGTTGAAGGATGCCAGGGCTCTCTTTTCATCTGCACTATAGATCTGGTTCTCTTTACGCAGACGCACAGCTTCCATGCGGCGGTGTCTGTGGGGGAGAACACGGGCTACGTCAGCATGGGCAGAGCGTGTCAGTGCCTGTCACAGCTTCCAGCCATCAACACCCCTGAATGTGTTCAGGGGCTTTAAATAAAGATACTGAAGTACTAGGGCCTGAACAACAGGGCCTGAGCCAAAGTTGACCTCCACATGAAACTTCAAACAGAATGTTATATTTGTATCCACTCATTACAGTAATATGCATGATCATTAGTGAAACATGTAGTGTGATAAAAACATATTTATCTTTCTGCATTTAGAAGCCAGACAAAGGCATGAAATCAGACATGTGGCCTTGTTTGAAGGTATATGATCAAAGCCAGCTCCCTTGCTTCCTTCTCGAGCCCTGGCCAGACTTTGGGTGGAATCCAAGACAGGATGAAACCATAAGTTCCTGCACTAGAAGCTGTGTAAGCTTGTTTGCTCTACAGTCTAAAAGCTGGGCCCTCTCACAGTGAAGATGGAGGCCTTGCCTACAGGTGGACACACCATGTAGGAATTCCCAGGAATGGTTCTCCAATCCTTTGCTGTGACCAGGGCTCCCCAGTTGATGGGCAGATCGGGATGATAGTAAAGTATTAAGGTAACTGGTGATGTATCTTTCTTAATCACTCTAGGCAATTTTTTGCACTAAGGATTAGGTGCATTACTTAGCTTACCCTTCGTAATTCTTTGCAGTTTTGCACTGTAGCAAATTATACTTACTCCCTAAAGTTGGTATCTGCATCTTTTGTGCTGACCTTGTCAACTGGCAAAACAGATACCTAAACTAGATAATTCAGACTGCACACTAACCTTCCCAGGAAGGAGTGTGGCAGAGCAAGGAACTGATTTCTGGTGGTATCTGTTCTCAGACAGTCAGTCAGAAGCCTCCTCTACCCCCAGGTTGTCAGCTGCTGGCTCACCAAAATTTAAGTGAGATTCCTGTTGGTCATAGACAAAAAAGTGCAGCCAACCTCTCACACATTGATTTGTCTCCTGCTGAAGGGCCAGCACATGCCCAGGGCTGTCCAAACAGACCACCTTCAAGCCACCTGACACAGGCACCTCCTCACTTGAAATAATTAGGACTATTGCATGTGAAGAACTTTTGCTCTTGAGGAGAAAGTGTCCTTGAAAAACTCACTATCCATCTTTAGCAATGAGGAGTTTAGTGTAGATTATTGAAAGCAAAGCACCTTCTCCTCCATGCTTGCAAGCAGAGCTTGGAAACAGTCTTCTGTTTAGCCAGCAGAGAAAGCAGCCCTTGAAAATTCCACTGAACCATTGCCACCATCAAAACCATACCTGCTGCCACTCATGACATAACCAGAGCTCTCAAACGATGCGATCTCTTCACTTGTCAAGCCGATTTCACCTCTGCGGGGAATGCGTTTCCCTGCTTTTACATACTCTGCCATGGCTGCACCTTCACCGGGAAGGAGGGCATGTCCATAGCTAAAAAACAAAAGTGGTGATTTCAATAGTTTCAGATAGAGAGAGCCTGAGCTAAACATCCAACTTCCCTGTTCACTACTATATACAGCTGCATTTTTAAACACTTTCTTATTCTTTCCCACATACTCGCCTGTTTCTTCCTTATGGCAACACTAGCAACAACATCTTAAATTACCAGCTGAGTTCATTCTGATGACACTATGAAGTCACAATACTGCATATCTTTAGAAAAAAGGCAATTACAATTGATTTTTCTAGGAATCTAGGCTAAAAAGCATAAACCAGACTTTTCTACCCAAATTCAGGTCAGGGGAAAGCCTAGCAGAAAGCCTAGCACTACTAAAACTTCTGTCTGTGAATTTCTGGCACAGCATTTCTCCCTCTGCATGCCTTATTGTTGCAACAACCCTTTTGAACAGTAACTTTCACACTTGATTTACTTGATTTGATCAAAGTATCACTAGAGCTGGCTACTCACTTCAAAGGCCTATCATCCTGAGATGCGTGAGTTTTGGGAGCCTCTGGTCCAATCAAACTATCAGCTTCAGTATTTTCTGCAACAGTCAAATAATGAGGAAGATTAATTTATGCCCATTGTTCTTTGTTATCAGAAGTGTTACACAGGTCAGCAACACCTAATGATGAATTCACAAAAAGGACACCAAGAAGTTTCCATCCAAATTTGAAGTCAGGTGAACCTACTTGATCTCTCAATCCAGAGATCATCTCCTTGAAGCATTTCATCATCAGAATCTTCGCTACTTGAATCACTGGATTCCTTCCTGCTCTTCTTAGCTTTCTTTTTCTTATACTTCTTCCTGTAGTAAAGACAGAAAGACATGATATTTATCAAAATTTAAGATGAAAGGAAGTACTTGGAATCATACTCAAATCATTAGTTTCTAAAGGCAACTTCCACCTACAGGAAGACTGGCTGTCTGCTGTTTCATACAAAACACTTTACAGCAAAGCCAAGACAATATATATGTTCTGTTTTGACTTTCATAGATTATTAGAAAGTGGCTCTAGAGGGAGTTGTTTGTGCTGTACAATTGTGCAGATTTAAATAAAATCCATCCAATTAATGCTATCTGCCAGCCCTTGCAAATTATCCAAGGTCCTCAGGCTCCCTCAGGGCCTGCAAAGAAAACTGAGCTGCCCTCCAGCCAACAGCAGCCAGAATGACACACAGCAACCATGACACTTACTTTTTGCTCTTCTTTTTCCTCTTCCTGCTTTTCTTTTTACCTTCATCTGAAAAAATAAAGTATATCTATTATAAAAAAGAAATTATTAGTTATAACTAAGTAGTTTACTGCCCTGTGAATAGCATGGCATGCCTTTTCCAGCCACAGTGTTCCTGAGGCTGTAGGCTCTATGACTCTCTAAACCCTAACCCCAAGCCTAACCACTCCCCTAACACTGCTGCTAAGAATTACACTAACCACTACCCCTACCAATTAACCTAACTACTACCCTAACCACTAACATAACCATTACCCTAACCCAGATTCTATTCCCACCACTAACTGCCTCCACCAGAATGCCCTAATACACACACTGATGGGACCTGTTTATACTGGGAAAGCATTAGTAGAAAGCTCCCTGCAGTACTGGTCAATATGAGAACATATCAAACAGATCTCTGGCATGAGAGGCCCAGTAGATACTAAATTCAGAAATCCCATTTCCTGAGGTCAGATTGCAAGCTGAAACTCTTTCGTCTTACCACTGGAACTCTGCTCAGACTCCGAGTCACTGTCACTGTCCTCAGAATGTTTCCTGTGCTTTCTTTTGGATGCTTTACGTTTTTTCTTTTGTCTTTTCTTCTTCTTTTTCTTCTTTTCCTCTAGAATTTTTTTAAAGATAACATCAGAGAACAAAGAACATCTAGTTCCATATATATTCCCTGATCTTCCCAAAGCAACACTCTCCTTTGAGCTGGAGCCCACCCCACTCACTTCCACCTATCCAAGCCAGGGAACCTCCTGCAAGCA